AAAGACGACTGCATGCAACTGAAATGCGAATGTTGAGGTGGATGTGTGGTGTGACAAGAATGGATAAGATAAGGAATGAATACATTAGTGGAGAATGAAAGTGGCGCCGGTGTCGGAGAGGTTGAAGAGTAATCGTCTATCATGGTATGTAATGCGTAGGAATGTGGATAAGAAAGGTGTTACATATGAATGTCTATGGTTATAAGGGCAGAGGAAGGCCGAAAAAGAGATGGATGGAATGTGTTCAAGATGATATGGTAAGAAAGGAAGTAAATAACGCGATGACTGCGAACAGGGATGAATGGAAGAGAAAAAAAGATAAAAAGCTAGAGTAGATCAAAAGAGATGCTAAATAAACTCCAGTAGTGTTAATAACCAGTGAATTAGAGGATACATATGCGAGGTAACACAGTGGTCACTCAGACAACACTAACGAGCTGCAATTTGATTCCACATATCTCTCTACTTTCGCTCAGTTTTTTTACTATCTTTTTTATATATTTTAATCACTATTAAGTGATAGCAAAAGTTATCTTTAATATTTATAAAGTAACAACAATACGTATAAATTACATCATAGATGCATGCTTTAGTTCTGAGGATTGGAAACGCATGAGCGGTGTTTAGTCATTCGCATTTTTACCACTAGATGGCGTTGTACAGTTTTTTTTAATACTTACTAATATTCTTACCAATATTATATATGGAATAGTATCTTAGTCTGTCTGTCGAGGTTTTACGTCAATACTGAACCGATTTAAATGCAACTTGGTACACCGATAATCCAGATCAAGAGAAAGGACAGGCTACTTTTTAAAGCGAATAAATGGTTGAAAAGCTTTTAAAGGGTAGATGTGATGTTGTAAGGAAGATTTTCAGCATAAATAGAAATATTAGTTATTTAATGTAGAAATAGAAATATTTCTATTTCTATTTCTCAGTCTTAAAGCTAGAAGCTTTATACTAAATTTCTTAGGCTATTGATTAAATAGAAATAAAAAAGACATTTAAAATTTGTAAGGAAATTCGTCTTTCGCAGGTGGTCATGTCGCGGATAAAGGCTAGTTAATGAATTAGAATAAAATTGTACATCCCATCTACAATTGTAATGGGGTAAATTATTAAAAATTTGCAAAATCAATCATTTACCCCATTTCGAGAGTATTATTTTATATTATTTAGGTACACAGTTAACAACATATTCTATGACAATTTTCTCATTTCTCCAGCCGTTCTTACGTGAAACCTTAAGACAGTTTTCGCCTCGTCACGATTGTGCGTATATAAAATCATATTTTTAAAATTAGACTTTATAATTCAAATTTTAGAGTTGATTTTCCAAAGTTATTAATTTTTTAGTTAATCCACTATGGTGTGTGTATAGTAGGGTGTGCGGTAAGTAAAGATATTTATATTGTTATCAGCATTGATCCACTGAACTCAATATTTGTTATGCAAATACATTCTAGTACAGAAAGCAATGGTCTCTAATGTATAGAAAGTTATGGCTTTGGTTACACAATTAAATTTATGTGCTAATTGTTACTACGTGGGGGGATGGGATTGTTACTAATGTGGGTTTATGACCCCATGTGTAAGAAGACCCCATTAGAAATGTACCATGTCAGGTTGACCTCCACGCGGTTCCCCCTGGAAACCATCGTTATAAATTCCTGGTGAATTTATCACGATATTCATAATATTAATACTAGATTTAAAGACAAACTTGCTGTCCCCAAGTATCGTTTAGAAAAAGTTAATAGGTCTTTTATGGGAATAGGTATAAAAATTTAACTTCATGTTTCTAAATAAATTCAAAACATGGTGCCTATTACTCACTAAACGATTACTTGAATGACAGTGTAAACCGTTCATGCGCAGTTAGCGACACCTATATAAATATACATTGTAAATAAACTGGCTGCACTTGCATTCCATTATCATCCATTAAAAAAATGTAAAAATACTATATTGGATTTTTGAATATATGCGAGGTTTTAAACCGTTAGAGAGACCATTCCATTATCATCCATTAAAAAAAAGTAATACTATGTTGGTAGTATATGCGAGGTTTTCGCGAGAGACTACAGCATGGGGGTTTTCAAGAAAGCTATTGTGAGTGGAATATTGGAAAATGTGTAAATTTCCCAAAAGGGCTCGTGATCGAGACCCTTCTGGTGTTCCAGGCGTCCATAGGCTACGGTAAGCTTTACCGTATACTAGTTTACGTAAATTATCCACAATTTGGTTTAACAAATTAGTTATTTTTACTGTATTTTAACTTTTTTTATATGAAAACCAATAAATTTTCTAATATAAGCCTAGCCTAGTTATACCTCATTACATTAGCTTATAATTTTTTTTGTGATTTGAATGAATGGTTATGTGACCCGAAAGTTTGGTGCATATTAATAATTTTTAGCATTATTTTTTATTGCTTACTTAGCATATTTCTGTTTACTTAGCAAAGTCTATTTACCTAATAAACAATTACTCAAATAACAAATGTGCATGACAATATTGGTCATGATTCATCAATTCAATGTTAGACATATGACACCCACATGAGTAAATAATGTTAACTGATTATATTTAAAAAGAGTTTAGTTGTAAGGTTTTTTTCTTTTCTGGCTACTTAATGTATTTGACCACAGCTGGCCTTTACAGCTTCACCGGACGATAGGGGGCGAGTGCAAATGGCACTCAAACCAAGGAAGGACTTACCATACAGCCTAAACAATTGTTTTAACATTAAACCACTCATCCATTTTTATTTTGTTTTTATAGCTATTAAACATTTCTTACCCTATTCATGCTAGCTAATTGGTAGTTTGTATTCACATGTTTCGACTTAAAAATGTTAAGTTACAATGATTATTTAAAAGAGCAACATGCAAGTTTCTTGCTCATTCTTCTAATGATGAGACAGGAAACCGAATGAGCAGTAGTTTAAAAAAAATTGTGACGACTATTCAAAAGTGTTTAAATTAAGTTTATTTGAATAAAAGATTTCTATTCTATTCTACATTTTGATATTTATGTCAACATAGTTAAAGAAAAAAACTGTGTTTTAGTAATCAACAATGAAAGTTGTAGAGGTTACACAATATGACTAAATATATATTATAATATACAATTGCATAAATGGAAGTTTTTTAATCATTTTATCTTTATTAATATGTTATCAAACAAGTCAAATTGTATATCATAACACTGATATGGTGGGGAAATAAAGGTGAAACCTATTATTGTATTTTAAACACTATTTCACATTATATATCTATTATTTATACATATAAATAAAATTGGAGTGTCTGTTTGTAATATTTAAATAACCGTTTTTACTACACATATATGAATGTAAATACGGTACATACACCAAAATAACATTTTTTACAATTTTTGTCTTTCTGTCTGTTTGTTCCGGCTAGTATCTGAAATGGTTGAACCTATTTTGATGGTACTTTTTTTGGCAGGTAGCTGATGTAATAAGGAGTAACTTAGGCTACTTTTATTTAGAAAAATAAAGTTAAATCCATGTGGGCGAATCGCTGGAACAGTTGGTTATAAAATATATTACATGTATTGTTACCATTCATGTTTGTAAGAGAAATAAATAAATAATATTATTATTACGTCACAAGCTCTTAAATTTTATATTATTGTAATCTGTTGTTAAGGAGCAAAAGTAGCAGGTTCTGTTTGAAACCTGTTTACTTCCATTACTACGGCAACTTTGGGAAATATAATGTAATGTAAGTTGGACTCTATTGCCTGCATTTAGCCTCTATTTTAGCCTGTTGTCCATGTAGAACTAAGACTACTAAAGTATGTAGCCGAGTTTCTCCCAAAAAATAAGGGATATAAGGCAAATTTGAGAAAATAAGGGAGAAATTCGTCCGTTTGCTAGTACATTATATGAGAAAATGTGTAGAAATACATAATATATATCTGCCATTTTATATATACATTCTTATATTAGTAACTGTGTATAATTAAAAATGTAAACTATGTACCAATAATATATATACATCTTATTACAAATGTCAGTCATATCTAATTTATTGCAACTTAAATTCATTACTTAATATATTTTAACTACTCTGTTTTCATAGACACTACATATTTTTAATTTATATTTTAAATATTATAATACACACAATAAAATACAGAAGTAGTCATACACATATGTTTGTCTATGGATTAATCAATATATTAAATCACATAAAGAAAAGAATAAAGCACTTCATAAACATAGACAATTTTGGCTAAATTCAGGATATTAGAATAAAGAAATATTAAATTTAATGTAAACTGAATTGTTAATTCTTTATTCTGCAGCCCCATCATGATATAAGTTTAATTAGTATTTTGTGGGAATAAGACAGCTTAACAATGCACCAATTGCATTGTCTTCCCTTCTTATTGTATATAATTTGATAGATAATATATAATTTGTAATTGAAATTCTAATATTTGTGCAACATATTTCAATAATAATGAATCATTTTAACAACAGCATGACAGTTCAATAATAAGTGTTATATCAAATAAAGGTATTTCATTGCAAATTAAATATTCAGTCGACACACCGACAACTGTACAAAGTACAGTGTAGTGTCACGACAGAGATAAAATTGTTCAAATAAACAAGCGCGACTGCGAATAATAACCTCGATATTTTGCGATTATTATAATAAAAACAAGATCGAGTACCTGATTCGAGGCTTCTGTCCGTGCCTCCAGTCATTTTCGCGTTTTCCCAACACTAATGTTATCACTCGAGGCTAGTAGCACACTTCATCCCTGGCAGACCAGCACCGTAATCCAAGCAGCAATTATAAAAAGAACCCAATTTCAATGTCACAGAGGTAACACGAGGGTGAGTGGCGGGAGTGTAGGACCGCGGCAGCGGACACACTACACCTGTCCGCGATACGCACTAACCAAAGACGCACTAATGCACGAACCCTATTCAATAATATTTGAACTGTATTTACCTTCTCCCTCTTCGAAATTAGTTTCTCGGTGTTTATGTCCTTCGATATCAGCCATGTTACATTTATTTATTTCGAGACTTGACTGAACTGAACATAGTGGACAAAATTTTTCCAACTCGACGCAATCAGGTCAAATTGACATTTCGTATTTATTTTGACAAATGACTTTTCAAAAAAATATGTCATTCATAGTGTCAGATTATATGTCAAATTTATACGTTGCCATCTCTGGAAAAAAGATACACGAAATAATGTCTTGTAAAACTTAGGTAAATGTAATAATTATATTAAACACTAAATAAAATAATACATGTTCTATTAAGCATTACACTTAAGTAATTCATACTTCGTACTGCATTTTATTTGTATAACTATGATGTCAATGGGTATCAGTTTTCTTCAACTGTTTGAATGTACTGAATGACATAATTTTAATTTGATTCAATCAGTCAATCAGTTATCTCTCGTGCAGTGTCTTCAGTTTTAATTTTTTTTTAACTTTACATATTATTTGGTTTAATAAGCAAAGTTAATTTAAATAAATCAAAATAGAAAGTAACAGCTACCTCATCATTTTCTTAATTTAATCGTTTAAAGGAAATACAAAAAATGCAGGTATGTGAAACTGATACTAATTCATTTCAAGGATTCAAATATGTAAATATGGTGAGTAATAACTGATACCCTATTTATTTTTAGAATCCAAATGAAGATACTGAATGGAATGATGTCCTGCGAGCTAAAGGTATCCTTCCGCAGAAGGAAAAAGAGGTTTCGGAAGCGGATATTGTAAACATGATCGAGGAAACCATTAAACAGAAACAAATTGAAAGTATGTTGAGGTTATGTGTACACCTTTCTAGTGCTTTAACTGCTTTCTCTGGTTAATTAATTAATCTCTTTACTGAAGTTTGTTAATTAATCTGTCTATTTAATTTCCCGCTTATTTTCAAATTAAGAATTTTATAGTAATGCCTATTGTCCCCACTCTCCTAAGAGCATCTGCACCTGTTTGGTTTCTCGTGGTGAACTCCTTTGCCCCATCATCATTTCTGAAGGTAATAACTCCCAGAGAACTGGATGAATAACCTCTACACAGGAATTAATATTTTAATATATATAATAAAAAATATGAATAGGAATATTTTAAAGAATAACTACGACTTAGCCTAACTTAAGACCAATCATATTTATTTCTTTTAATCTGGAGTTTTATGTTTTCTGGAGGGAACCAAACTGGTTTAAAAAATAAATCAGTCATGTAATACCATTCTTGAGGACTTAATAATGTTGAAAATTCAAAATTCAAATATCATTTATTCATGTAGTACATTTTAGCCACATATGAACATCAAGTTTTACATTATAATTTTTTTCTCTCTACCATCCAGTTCTGTATATAGATACAATTGAGAAGAACTGGCAAGAAGCTCAATTGAATAACTTTTTTTTAAAGCCAGTTTATTTAACTGGCTTTCGAGTGATTTACTTTGATTTCCAGAGGACAAACAATTATCAGAACTAGATCTGGACGGTCTTGATGAACTGGAAGACTCAGAAGATGAAGCTGTAATAGAGGAGTACAGGAGGAAACGCATAGCTGAACTGAGGAAGCTGGCAGAGAAACCAAGATTTGGTGATGTGATGGAAGTCTCCGGACAGGACTATGTACAGGAAGTGAACAAAGCTGGTGATGGCATATGGGTGGTTATACACTTGTATAAACAGGGGTGAGTCAATATTGCTTTAACTGTTGTTATTTCACTTTGTTGATTGTGTTAAGGCTGTTTTTGCCTTGGGAGATGTAGAATTTAGGGGGATGAAAAATAGATGTTGGCCGATTCTCAGACCTACTCAATACGCTCACAAAATTTCATGAGAATCGGTCAATCATGTTCAAACCGTTCGGAGGAGTATGGGAACGAAAACTGTGACACGAGAATTTTATGTATAAGATGCTGATACACAACTATAGTTACATTCATAACAGACCAACCAACTTGATAACTTATCTTACTAATATTATAAATGCCTTATGTTAAGTCCTCACTCAGGCCTACAGGACTGACCTTTATTTTTGTATTTGTGAATGAAAGTTTTAATACATAAATAAATGAACTTATAGACACGAAAATTTGAAAGTGTGGATGCCTGGATGTTTGTTACACTTTCATGCAAAAACTATTGAATAGATTTTAATGAAACTTTACTATAATATAGCTTTACATAAAAATAATACATTGGCTATAAATTTTGATGTGGGTTAAATAGTGGGCACTGCTAGTTTTAATATAATAATTCTTATTGTGGCACACAAGAAGTACAATTTATGATGATGATCTTAAAATTGTGTACTTACAAAGATGAAATGAAATGAAATGAAAATTCTTTATTGTTCTCTCTTAGTATACAAACAAACATTTATATACATTATTAATGTATACATAAGTATAAATATGTATAGACATACAACATTCTCCAAGGGAAGAGGCAACAATGGGCGGCCTTATCGCTGAAAAGCGATTTCTTCCAGGCAACCTTAAAGATATACTTATTGTTTTTGTTTAAATGAATACTTTGCTCTGGAGGTGGGCACAAATACCTGCAATTAGTGTAGTTGTTTACGATCCAAACATACTTATGGTCCAGGTCCAGATTAAATGTAAGGATTGCTTTGACGGATAAGTCCAACTTTTGTTAGCACATTTTTATATTTAGTTTTTAGTTTTTTTTATTTTTTTATCTATAATAAAGAGTATTATTAATTTAATTAAATTAAGGACCAACCTGGTTCGTGTCGTCCTTAACGACAACATTTAAGTCTTATATATATGTAGCTGTTTCACTTTAAAAAACACACAACACTATGATGATTTTCACTGTATGGTGTACTAATAAGATGATTGCGCGGAGATCGCGGCTGATGGTTCCGTTAACGTTGATTCGCGGAGAATATGCGGATTTGCGTGTGCTCGACGCGACGCACAACGGACGACTCGTTTTGTTGATACTACCCCTAGATTTGGTGGATAAAAATAGGTGTAGGATTTAGGGTAGTAACATATTGCAAGTTGGTTAGAAATAAGTAGATTTATGCCAACCAATTATTAAGTTGTAATTTTTGTAATAATACAACTTAATAATAATACAATAGCCTTATTACTTATGAAGAATTAATTTATTCTAGTATCCAGCAGTGTGCACTAATAAATCAGTACATGAGACAACTGGCAGCCAAGTTTCCGTACACGAAGTTCCTGAAAGCAGTAGCACAGACTTGCATCCCAAACTTTCCTGAGAGGAACCTGCCCAGCTTGTTTGTATACTTTGAGGGTGATATGAAGAAGCAGTATGTCGGACCTCATGAGCTGAGGGGAACAGCTCTCACATGTGATGGTAATTATATTTGTTGGAAGCTGTCTACATACCTTTCTTATTTTCTGTTTTTTATAACACTATGTTACCTACACCTAATATCGGGCTACTCAAACAAATACTCCAATATACTACTGCTATTGAGTAAAAACAACATATGCTAGGGCCCTCACAGGACACTGCAAATTAAACAAGCATATGGCTTACCTAGGCCTATGCACGACAAGAATCTGCAGATTCTGCCAAACTGAAGAGGAAACGCCGCTTCACATCCTATGTGGTTGTAGCCCACTCATGCATAAACAAAATATCTCCTTTGGAAAGTTTACACTCTTTCCCGAGGAGATAAAAACCATCGCTCCTAAGAATATCCTTCAATTCTTGTCTCTGACGGGTCTAGGTAGCGAACTTTGAAAAAGGGCGAGCACAATAGATCTAAGTGGGATGCAGTGCTCCAGGTGCTACAAACATCTGAAATACCCCAAACAACCCAATAAACAAAAAAAAACACTATGTTGTTTTACATTTGACATAAGTCGATATAATATTCTGCTACGATACTGGTGCCGTCTTATCTTGATGTCCTTCCTTTACAATATTTTTTAAATCGGTCCAGTCATTTCAGAGATTAGCCGGAACAAACAGAGAGACAGACAGACAGACAAAAATTGTAAAAAATGTTATTTTGGTGTATGTACCGTATTTATATGCATGTAGTAAAAACCGGTTATTTCAATATTACAAACAGACACTCCAATTTTATTTATATGGCACTTTAATTATGGCTTAAAATACTGAATTTTTAATTAATCTTTCAGAACTGGAGTACATACTGGGCTTAGTGGGTGCAGTCGACACGAAGATCAAAGAAGATCCCAAACCAAAGATCAAGGATAAGTTATTTGAAGATCTCGGCTCAAATGATTGGTGATAATATAACTGTATGTTGTGTGGGTGTATGTGCATATGACAGAAACGGTTCTTACAAGAGTGCATAATTTTCTAAGCTTACGGATACGAAATAATTTATTTTACAAATAGTATAAAATATAAAAAAATGTTGATATTATTAAAGTATTTTTTTTGTGTTATATTCATGACTCTATAATAAAACGTTAATTTTTATGTCTTCTTATGATTTATTATTTACTTATTCCACTAATTTTAAACATGTATAATAAGCTTCTGGACGGTTGAAATCATCATTACAGAATATAAAACAAAGTCGTTATCGTTGTCTGTCCGTCCCTATGTATGCTTAAATCTTTAAAACTACGTAACGGATTTTGAAACGGTTTTTTTTAATAGATAGTGATGTAAGAGGAAGGTTAATATGTATAATACATGTACATCCGTGCGAAGCCGGGGTGTGTAGCTAATCTGTGATATGACATGTGGAATGCCATTTTCAAATAATTATAATTTATTCATCTTACTATGATATGATAATGATATGATATGATGGTAAATGAAGCAACTGTGTCCAGGATTAAAGATTCCGTCGCGCTAAACGAACTGGCAGACCACCACCTAGATGGTCTGATGATATGGTAAGCACAGCTGGAAAACTGCCACGGACTGTGCAACGAGCAAACAGATCGGAGAGGCATACACCCAACGGTGGGCTACCCATGCTAATAATGTTAAAAAATATATGCTTATAATCATCTGTTCACCAGTGGACATGTCTTTCCTCAAGGCACGCAACTGGGTACACTCTAGCAGTTCTCATCTAGTTTTTACTTGTAACAGTACATAGTTGCTCCACCTAATTGTAGACTGTCTGTATATGTTGATATTTTTGCCAAACATGTAAGTTATGTAGCACTATATTAAATAAAAACATTTTATTGTCCAATTTTATTTTTAATCATTAAAACTTATATTTAACAAATCAAATACAAATAGTAATATTTACAAATTCATTCGTTAATAGTTTTAGGGAGCATTCTTTGCGATTTTTCCCTTTACACAAATTACATGAATTGCTTTTACACAAAAAAGTACAGTTAACAGAAATGAAAATTTTCTCGCAGACAAATACGAATTCGATTATTGATTCGAACAAATGAAAACATCTGTAGTAGTATAAAAAAAACATTGTTAAGTCTGTTTCTATATTTTAAACCACGCAAAGGCTTTTGTTATCACTTACATTTAGAGTACTTTTTCCTGAAAGTTTATATCATGCATAGACACGATCGACGTCATACATTGTAAACTCGTGAGATTAAAAAGCTGATGGCTAATTAAGTGTACAATTTCATATGAAAGGTTTAATCAGTTTCTTGTTAGTTCCTTGCTCAAAATAAATTAGTAGTAGTAGATTTAACTTGTATGTCAGCAGCAAAACGAACACCAGTATTCAGTGGTATTTATTTCAGGCGTCCATAGTCTAACTGTTTACTATCAGATGGACCTTACGCTTGTTTGTCGACGTAGTATAAAAAAATAGAGATTTTGATTAATTCAATTGGCTGTTCCATATTCCATTGATTCCTTGGCTTGAGAGCACGCTGCACCTATGGATGTGACATTCTGCCGATTTATTGAGATATTAAACTCTATGTTTTTATTGACTAATGATTTCAAATTTATAATCGATTGTTTATCGATTATGAAACATTTTAATCTATTTTTATTCACATCCCTAGTTGAACTGTACCATGACGTGGTTGATTGCTCAGCATCCCCTGTGCAGGTTGATGGTGGTGACACACTTGCTGATGCACTGTTCGACGGGGTGTCGCGACTTCATGCCTAATTCGAACACGCGCACCAGAATCTGCGTGGCGTGCTCCTGCATACCGATCACCAGGTCCGGCAGCTTGTCCAGCATCGACTGGGTGATCTCAGGTCGTGATGAGTCCAAGCACTCCAGTACCACGTTCAGACCTGAGCATGTATTAAATACATTTAATTATAATACAGTTTTTATTCAGATATAGTTATTTACATTTCGTACCACCGACGACGTTAAGTGAGTCGGCTAGTTGTATATAACAACTAGCCGACTCTCGTCTGCGTTGAATTTCCCTACCTTTTGCAATATTTTTTATTACAGCTCCGCTCCTATTGGTCGTAGTGTGATGTTAGAAAGTTTAAAGCCTTCCTCCACAAATGGACTATCCAATACAAAAATATTCGCAAGACGTCAGCAGTGTGTGCTAGAGTCAACATAATGTTTCCATCTCTTTCCTACGTGGGAAAGAGATGGAAACATAGCTAATCAGAGTGTAATAAGGTGCGACCAATGCCATCAATTATCGCTGGCTGGTGCGGGGCCGCAGTGGTCAGTGCGGGCCGCGGGTCGGTACGTACCTGGCTGCGTGTCGGGGACGGCGGGCAGCAGGCGCGCTAACAGCGTGAGCGCGGCGGTCCGCAGCGGCTGGTGCGGGGCCGCAGTGGTCAGTGCGGGCCGCGGGTCGGTACGTACCTGGCTGCGTGTCGGGGACGGCGGGCAGCAGGCGCGCTAACAGCGTGAGCGCGGCGGTCCGCAGCGGCTGGTGCGGGGCCGCAGTGGTCAGTGCGGGCCGCGGGTCGGTACGTACCTGGCTGCGTGTCGGGGACGGCGGGCAGCAGGCGCGCTAACAGCGTGAGCGCGGCGGTCCGCAGCGGCTGGTGCGGGGCCGCAGTGGTCAGTGCGGGCCGCGGGTCGGTACGTACCTGGCTGCGTGTCGGGGACGGCGGGCAGCAGGCGCGCTAACAGCGTGAGCGCGGCGGTCCGCAGCGGCTGGTGCGGGGCCGCAGTGGTCAGTGCGGGCCGCGGGTCGGTACGTACCTGGCTGCGTGTCGGGGACGGCGGGCAGCAGGCGCGCTAACAGCGTGAGCGCGGCGGCCCGCAGCGGCTGGTGCGGGGCCGCAGCGAGGGGCGCGACGGCCCGCAGCAGCGCCCCCGCCGCCTCGGCGCCGCCCCACGCTCCGCCGCGCCGCGTGCCCCACGAATCCACCTCCTGATATCACACCGTTTGCTCAACTACACGGTTACTTATTTCTACATTATACGAAGTTCTAAATAGAGCTTTGTACAGTTTACTTTATATTATACAAAAATATAATTTATTTTTAGGGTTTTCGGCGCCGTAGCGCCCCGCAGCGTGATAAAGTTATCTCAAAGAGTGTGAGAGAGAGAGAGAGAGGAGAGTGACCTGTATGGCAGCGTGCAGGTCGTCGGGCGAATCCCGACGGCGTTGTAGCGTCCGCAGCGCGAGGGGCGGCGGCGCAGCCGAAGCAGGTGCTGCCACATCCGCGCCTGCTCCCGCTCCTGCCCCTCCCAGCGACGACAGCGCTGGCAAGCTCCTACAACACACGCACTCTGTTAATTGGCATTACCTTCAACATTCAATATAAGCTCGTAAATTGTTAACCAACACACACATTTAGTGTTCTAAAAAATAAAAGACATGTAAATGTTTATGAAGTAAGTTGACGGCATCAGTGATCTAACGGTTTAGCACACCGCAGGGCAAATCAAAATTTCTTAACTTTTGTTAAATCAAAAATCAGTTTATCTTTCTACAACATCTTGCGCAAAGTATTGATTTTAATTATAGTTCGACTACGTATTTAAACTTTATACATCTATTAAAATAATATAATATATACACCTTGTTTTCGACGGCAATAACAGTTATCCATATATATGAGTCCTGTTCTAATCACCCATTAATTGGGCTACCAAACTGGGATGGATCCGTAGAGGCGGGTCGAAAGTGGGAGATAAATGATGTAGTCGCGATGTGTGATGAGGTCAACAGTGGTGAGGTGAGGTGAACAGTGGTGATGAGGTCGCGGTGCGTGGCGACGTAGTGCGGGCGCGCGGCTACGTCCCGCCGCAGTATTCAATGGTAACAAAAGTTTAAAGATACACACGTCGGTTTCGTATCTTTTTGTAATCACCCAATAATTTGGCTGCCAAACTGGGATGGATCCGTAGAGGCGGGTCGAGAGTGGGAGCGATCTACTGTATGAAGAGTCGTGACTCATTAAGAGAGAAATTCAAAGACGCAAATATTCTCACCGTTGCTTCTCAATTTATATATTCAAATATCCTATATGTTCATAAAAATCTTGACTTATTTCCAAAAAACAGCAATATTCATAATATTAATACAAGATTTAAAGACAAACTTGCTGTCCCCAAGTATCGTTTAGAAAAAGTTAATAGGTCTTTTATGGGAATAGGTATAAAAATTTACAATAAGATACCAAAGGATATGTTGGAATTACCCTTAAATAAATTCAAAACATCTGTGAAATCATATTTACTGAGCAAAGCCTATTACTCACTAAACTATTACTTGAATGACGAGTGTGCATGGCAATAGTTGTTCATGCACTGAATTTTCATTTAATGTTAGACATAGACACCTATATAAATATACATTGTAAATAAACTGGCTTTAAAAAAAAAAAAAGTAATTCAATTGAGTTTCTTGCCAGTTCTTCTCAATTGGATCTATATACCGAACTGGACGGTAGGGAAAAAAAAATTATAATGTAAAAATTTGACGTTCATAAGCGGCTAAAATGTCCTACATGAATAAATGATTTTTGAATTTGAATTTGAATTTGGAGATACATGAAGTAGTAATAGTGATAGTGTACTGACGCGATGAGGTCGCGGTGCGCGGCGAGCAGCGCGGCGGCGTGGTGCGGGCGCGCGGCCACGTACCGCCGCAGCAGCGCCGCCACGCGGTGCTGGAGCCCCACCTCGCGGGAGCCTCCGCCGCCGCCACTCGACTGCTTCTTCACCACACCCAGGAAGCACTCCAGGATCGTGTGGATCTCCTCGCTAACACAAGTCTTTATTTATTCATTTACGATTAAAGATAATATAATACAGATTGGAATTCAAAATTGATGTTACAAAATTTCGACCATTAGGCGACCACTAGTTAATACTAATTTCCGACTATGTAATTTACAGTTTAGTATATTTTTAGATAATATAAAAGAACAGACCACAATTTATATATCGACTTGCAAAGATTATTACAGTGCGGCGGTTACCAGGTGTCGGAGGCGAAGAGGTCGTCGTCTGGCAGCACCTCGAGCGCGGCCAGCAGGTGGTGGTGGTGGCGCGCGTGCAGCAGCAGCGAGCCGCGCAGCAGGGCGGCCGCCAGCGGCAGCGCCCGCCGCCCCGCGCCCTCCACCCGCGACCACAGCGCGCGCACGCTCGCCTCCATGCGGGACATCCTGCGCTCACAACAACACCCAATATAAGCCAACTGATTACGATTAATTATAATTTCAGTGCTCTTTCTTCTTGTGATGAGACAGCCTTCCAAATGAGCGGTAGATTAAATGAACGATAACTGTGACTATTCATAAGTGTTTAAAATAGGTTTATTTGAATAAATTCTCTTCTATTCTATACTACTACGCATTATTATTGTTGTAACTGGCTAATCAGATATGTATTTTATATTCTAAATTTGTATTTAAATTTATAGTTCTTTTATATTACATTCTTGTTTTTGATACTTCAATTCATTCTTTCTATTGTCAATTAGTTCTCTATTATTAATATATTTTCTCCGTTTTACAGTGTTTTTTTTTTCTTATTACTACAATATACTACTTGGCGGCGTGGTCCTTGGCGGCGGCGGCGGCGGCGAGCGCGGTGAGCAGCGCGTGCGCGGGCCGGTCCGTGGCGCACGTGGTGTCGGCCGCCGTGGTGAGTGTGACTTACTTGGCGGCGTGGTCCTTGGCGGCGGCGGCGGCGGCGAGCGCGGTGAGCAGCGCGTGCGCGGGCCGGTCCGTGGCGCACGTGGTGTCGGCCGCCGTGGTGAGTGTGACTTACTTGGCGGCGTGGTCCTTGGCGGCGGCGGCGGCGGCGAGCGCGGTGAGCAGCGCGTGCGCGGGCCGGTCCGTGGCGCACGTGGTGTTGGCCGCCGCTCTCTCCAGGGGTCCGGCCAGCAGTGCTCGGCGACGAAGCGTGCGCGCACCGCTCGTCGCCACCACCTGCTGCACGCGCGGCACCTGCACACACAAACACATGTATTACTTTCCAGACAAAACTATTTGAGATTTTATATTTGCAGCGCTACCCATTTTTGAATTGCGAAATTGAAGTGGTAACGGGCAGGACACATAGCTCGTAGGACAGATGGCCGTTGAGGTAATAAAGTCCTCGAGTGGCGACCGTGGACCGAAAGACGCAGCCTGGGAAGGCCTTCAGCAGGGTGGAACGACGATCTGATCAAGATCGCTGGAAGGCGATGGATGCGAGCTGTGCAGGACCGATCGTCGTGGAGATCTTTGGGGGAGAGCTTTGTTCAGTAGTGGACGTCTTCCGGGCTGAGATGATGATGATGAGTGCTACACTCAGTAGTTACTGTAATCATTATATAGAGTAACTAATGAAAGCTGATTCAATCAGGTTTTAGTGTCTATATACCCTAAAACCTGAATGAATCAGATTCCATTAACACGTGCAGCAGCAGCAGCAGACACAGCAGCAGCGCCAGCCGCGCCTCCATGCGGCGCCGCATCGGTCCGCGAGCGGAGCGTGCTCACCTTCATGTAAAGCAGCAGCAGCATGAGGGGGTGCGCGGCGGCGGCGGCGAGCGCGGCGGCGAGCAGCGCATGTTGGGTGCCGCAGCAGCGCAGCAGCAGCGCCAGCCGCGCCTCCATGCGGCGCCGCATCGGTCCGCGAGCGGAGCGTGCTCACCTTCATGTAAAGCAGCAGCAGCGCGGCGGCGAGCAGCGCATGTTGGGTGCCGCAGCAGCGCAGCAGCAGCGCCAGCCGCGCCTCCATGCGGCGCCGCATCGCGTCCGCGCCGCCCGCGCGCTCCGCCTCCAACCCCTCCTCCACGATGTACTGCACCAGCGTCGTCAGCTGCGCACCAACCAACCATCTCAATATCGAGTCACATTTATATTGATAATGGACAGCATCTCAGTAATTGCTGCCAATATACCATTCCCAATAACTGCCGCGTTTTATTATTTTAATCATTTAATCAAATAAACTTAATTTAAGCACTTTTGAATAGTCAAAATTTTTTTTTAAATCTACCGCTATTAAATAAGGTTAGAAGAGTCTGTACTATTTATATAACTCAGTACCGACTCCACACTATCTTCCATATCGTATCAACCACTGTCTTTCCAGAGCTCCCTCAGTTATCACGTGTAGTTCACCTGGTCGTGGTGCAGCCGCAGCGTGTCGTCGGGCGCGTGGTGTTTGGGCGTGGCTTTGTCGCGGCCCTGCCACACGCGCGGGCTGCCGATCAGCGTCTCCGCGAAGTCCAGCACAGAACTCGCAGCCCAGCCCCTGCACACACACATCCCCATTGGTAGTAAGGTTCTGAGGAACTGTTCGGATTAATACCAGCTGCTGAGTTTCACCACCGTACCACCCGCCGGAAACTGAAATATCATCCTGATGATCTGGATGTCTGGTCTTCCACAGTGCGGTTTTCTAGAAACTTCTTGCCTCGCACAACCACATTGTAGAATCACCTTCCAGCAATGGTATTTCCGAACGATATTGAAACCTTCAAGAAAAGAGCTTATTCCTTTTTAAAAGTCCGACAACGTACTTGCAGTTCCCCTGGTGTTGCGGGTGCTCATGGGCGGCGGTAATCACTTACCATCAGGTGAGCCGCATGCTCGTTTGTTCCCTGTGTTATAAAAATAAAACAAAGGTACTATGTCAGGTCGTGAGGGGTCAGATAGTAATAAATATGAGTGGCGCGTCACCGTCCGGGCTGCAGCAGCGCTGCGAGGCAGGCGTGCAGCGTGCGCCAGGAGGCGCGGTGCGCCAGCAGCGTCACCAGCAGCGGACGCCACGCCGCGCACCCCGCCACGAACATCAGCCGCATCTGCACGTACACGGGTTAAACCAAACAATAACAACAGGTATAGTCCGGACGCTGAAAGTTCGCGTTTCTGACAGATCGGGATCGAATGCGTGATGTAACTTTGAACTGACTGCACATACACGAGTTAAACTAAACAATAAAAATAACAGGTATAGTCCGGACGCTGAAAGTTCGCGTTTCTGACAGGTCGGGATCGAATGCGTGATGTAACTTTGAACTGACTGCACATACACGGGTTAAATCAAACAATAACAACAGGTATAGTCCGGACGCTGAAAGTTCGCGTTTCTGACAGGTCGGGATCGAATGGGTGATGTAACTTTGAACTGACTGCACATACACGGGTTAAACCAAACAATAACAACAGGTATAGTCCGGACGCTAAAAGTTCGCGTTTCTGACAGGTCGGGATCGAATGCGTGATGTAACTTTGAACTGACTGCACATACACGAGTTAAACTAAACAATAAAAATAACAGGTATAGTCCGGACGCTGAAAGTTCGCGTTTCTGACAGGTCGGGATCGAATGGGTGATGTAACTTTGAACTGACTGCACACACACGGGTTAAACCAAACAAAAATAACAGGTATAGTCCGGACGCTGAAAGTTCGCGTTTCTGACAGGTCGAGATCGAATGGGTGATGTAACTTTGAACTGACTGCACATACACGGGTTAAACCAAACAATAAAAATAACAGGTATAGTCCGGACGCTGAAAGTTCGCGTTTCTGACAGGTCGGGATCGAATGTGTGATGTAACTTTGAACTGACTGCACATACACGAGTTAAACTAAACAATAAAAATAACAGGTATAGTCCGGACGCTGAAAGTTCGCGTTTCTGACAGATCGGGATCGAATGCGTGATGTAACTTTGAACTGACGTACAATCTACGGCTTCAAAGTTATGTAAACTGTTTGTTTTCGTAGTGATGTGACCAAATTGATACAGCGCAGTTTGATGTGGTTTGACTTTTAGAAACTATTATTTTTGTATTTGTTAAGTAGCTAATCATAGTCAATCATTTTAGCCCAAAATAAATACGTTTATTGTAATTTGGAATAATTATTAAAAATTTAAAGTTGTCACTCGTCATTACACAGTATAAAACAAAGTCGCTGTCGCTGTCTGTCCCTATGTATGCTTAAATCTTTAAAACTACGCAACGGATTTTGAAGCGGTTTTTTTAACAGATAGAGTGATTCAAGAGGAAGTTTTATATGTATAATACATGTACACCCGTGCAAAGCCAGTGTGGGTAGCTAGTAAAAATATAAAACAAAATGTGATGCTGTACCTGTCTCTCGGGCTGCGGGCCGAGGGTCTCTCGCTGCAGCTCCGACATCCAGTCCAGCAGCAGGCCACAGCCGCGTCCGCTCCGGGAGAACAGTGCCACTTGCTTGTCGTCGCTCTCCGACTTCACCTGTTAAATATCATTGAAACATTGCGCATAAATAAATAAATCACACAGTTGTGTTAGAAAAATATCTGTAACATTCGAATAATGTAGTATTTTTTTTATATTTATATAGGTAGTAGGTGTACTTAAATCATGTGCAGCACGAGGCGCGGGTCGTGCGCACAGATCATGGTGATGTGAGCAGGGTGGTAGTGTGGGGTGTGGTGTGTGGTGTGGGGGAGGGGTGTAACCTTGTCGTCGTAGTGTCCGTCCTTGCTGCGCTCGAGCAGCGCACACAGCGCGTGCAGCACGAGGCGCGGGTCGTACGCACAGATCATGGTGATGTGAGCAGGGTGGTAGTGTGGGGTGTGGTGTGTGGTGTGGGGGAGGGGTGTAACCTTGTCGTCGTAGTGTCCGTCCTTGCTGCGCTCGAGCAGCGCACACAGCGCGTGCAGCACGAGGCGCGGGTCGTGCGCACAGATCATGGTGATGTGAGCAGGGTGGTAGTGTGGGGTGTGGTGTGTGGTGTGGGGGAGGGGTGTAACCTTGTCGTCGTAGTGTCCGTCCTTGCTGCGCTCGAGCAGCGCACACAGCGCGTGCAGCACGAGGCGCGGGTCGTGCGCACAGATCATGCGCGCGCCCACCGCCTCCAACGTGCGTGCGCTCGTGCGCTCCAGCACTACGGGGGAACAAACAACATTACTGCACTGCCCAACTCACAAATTAACATTTCTCTTTATTATGGCCTAATAATTTACAATGACTATAACAAAAAATACCAGCGAACAAGACACTAGTGGCTTCTCGATTTAATTTTTTTGTTCACTGTAATTATTTGGTGGTCATTGGGAAGCTACAATCCAATCGATTAAAGAACTTGTAGTAAACTATTAGGCCGTAATGCTCCCACATGTACGTAAAAAATAGAGAAAGTACAATTATCAGTATTTTATAAATAATCATTTATTTGTATCGTTGGACATCGTAGGTGATGGTTTACCACCACGTGGATCATCGGCTTATTTCTAAATCTATAAAGACAGGAGAACATATCTGGCGGATATATTCTCCTGTCTCGAATCTATCTTGCGGAGTTTACCTGCGACGAGCTGGTCAGCGGTGCGGGCGCTGTCGATGTCTGCGAGCAGCGGCAGCGAGCCGGCGCTGTCGGTGCGGGGCGAGGGCCCGGCGCTGTCGGTGCGGGGCGCGGCCTGCACCAGCGCCCGCAGCACGCCCGGCAGCGGGCCCTTGAGCGGGCCGTACGCGCCCAACAGAACCGTACCGCACTGTGCACGCACAACATTCGATTTAGAGAGATATACTTTATTTGTTTACTGTTTTAAATTTGATGCGGTCATTAGCAGAAATCGTGACATCTTATATTATCTTTTCTTACGTTTTATATTTATCGAGTTCCCGATATTTATTGAATTTATATGATTTAACCTATAACAAAACATTTTGAAAAAAATTCGACGTATTTTCATGGATATGTGATTTCGATTGATTTGCTGAATCTATACAATAATATTTTAACATTGACTGTAGTATGTACATTTTAATACAATAAGAGAGCGATCATTAAATTATTCAAATTTATAAGCAAACAACAGCTTCAACACCGTAAAATTGAACAAACGACATCACAAAGCAAGCCATGGCTAACCTATAGTCACTTCAACCTCACGATTATACCAACTGAAACGTGGTAAGTGTTTTTTCGACTTACAAATGATTTATTCCCTATACCTTGTACCTCTCTTCTTTCCGGGGCAATGGACACCACAGCAACCGTCGCTAGACAGCACTGCATACTGCTTCGGAAGTTACCTGCGCCAAGTCCGGGGAGCGCAGCGGTAACAGCGCCCGCAGCAGCGGCGCGGCGCGGTGCTGGTGGCGGGCGAGTGCGGCCGCACCGGCTCCCCCGGCGGCGGTGCGCACCACCCACGTCACCACGCCTGCTGCGTACGGCATCGCACCGCCCTCCCCGCCGCCGCGACCACGCTTCACCTCCGCCGTTACCATCTGTAGTGCACATTTATCCTCGATTGACGGTCTCGGTGGTCTAGCGGTTTAGCACTCCGGTTTATTTTTGATGGCCTGGCCGTTACAGATTCACCGGAGCATAAGGAGCGAGTACAGATGGCACTCCAAACCCGCGGAAAGACTTATAGAGCGGCTGAAGGCCAACTCCCGCCTGATGGATACGACTTTAGAAGATAATGTTTTATGGAAGGTGTTTGTGTACATGTACATATGAATGTAGATGGTTATAAAGGCAGAGGAAGGCCGAAAAAGAGATGGATGGACTGTGTGAAAGATGATATGATAAGAAAGTAAATAACGAGACGACTGCGAACAGGGATGAATGGAAGAGAAAAACATATTACGCCGACGACAAATAAATGGCATAAGGAAGAAGCAGTGTGAGGCGAGTACCGTGAGTAGGTCCGTGTAGGCCGCGTCGAGGTCCCCCGGGTAGGGGGCGCCGGTGAGCGCGGCCGCCAGCACCGCCGACACCAGCTCGGGCCCCGGGGCTCCCGAGGGCCCCGCGGGGCCCGGCGCCGCCCGCACTGCTGCGCACTCCGCCGGAAGACGCTCCGCACCGAACAGCGCCTCGTCTGTATACGCATAAATATGTGTCATAGTAAATCTTAAGGACAGTATTCGTTACTGTTATATTTTATTTTGTACTGGTGGTGGTATGCCCGAGGTTCGATGCGCGTTAAATTTCAATAAAAGATATAGCCTATACGTTATTCTGATGCATAAGTTATATTACTGTAACATTTGCTGAGTAGTTTTTGCGTGTAGAGTAACTGTCTCGTAGTGGATACAATCGAATTTGTTTAACAATACATTTAATTTTGTCTTTTGGTATTTACAAAGATTTAAATTTAGGTTAGCAACTAGCCGTGGAACAATTAGAAGCAGTAAAAAAGTACAATGATATCGAGTAACTCGAAGGTATACAAATAATAACACGGATTTATCATTGGACGGTCTACAGTGTCCAATCTTGTTCTATTTAATGACTATTTGACAGAAGCCATGGATGATGGACACCAAGTAGACGTTATTTATACAGATTATAGTAAAGCATTCGATCGCATTGATTATTGTTTGCTTTTATCTAAGCTTCAGTATGTAGGAATTAGGGGCGATCTTCTTAGATGGTTCTCGTCATACATTGACCGCCGGTGGCCCCGCGCGCGCGCTGCACGCGCAGCAGCTGCGCCATGTAGACGCGCTGCACGCACCACGACACATGTACACTCACCGGGCGGCGCGTGCGCGCAGGTGGAGCGCGGCTGCGAAGGCTGTCCGCCGGTGGCCCCGCGCGCGCGCTGCACGCGCAGCAGCTGCGCCATGCGCGCTGCACGCACCACGACACATGTACACTCACCGGGCGGCGCGTGCGGCTGCTGCAGGTGGAGCGCGGCTGCGAAGGCCCGTCCGCCGGTGGCCCGCGCGCGCGCGCTGCACGCGCAGCAGCTGCGCCATGCGCGCTGCACGCACCACGACACATGTACACTCACCGGGCGGCGCGTGCGGCTGCTGCAGGTGGAGCGCGGCTGCGAAGGCCCGTCCGCCGGTGGCCGCGCGCGCGCTGCACGCGCAGCAGCTGCGCCATGTAGACGCGCTGCACGCACCACGACACATGTACACTCACCGGGCGGCGCGTGCGGCTGCTGCAGGTGGAGCGCGGCTGCGAAGGCCCGTCCGCCGGTGGCCCCGCGCGCGCGCTGCACGCGCAGCAGCTGCGCCATGTAGACGCGCTGCACGCACCACGACACATGTACACTCACCGGGCGGCGCGTGCGGCTGCTGCAGGTGGAGCGCGGCTGCGAAGGCCCGTCCGCCGGTGGCGCCGCGCGCGCGCTGCACGCGCAGCAGCTGCGCCATGTAGACGCGCTGCACGCACCACGACACATGTACACTCACCGGGCGGCGCGTGCGGCTGCTGCAGGTGGAGCGCGGCTGCGAAGGCCCGTCCGCCGGTGGCGCGCGCGCGCGCGCTGCACGCGCAGCAGCTGCGCCATGTAGACGCGCTGCACGCACCACGACACATGTACACTCACCGGGCGGCGCGTGCGGCTGCTGCAGGTGGAGCGCGGCTGCGAAGGCCCGTCCGCCGGTGGCGCCGCGCGCGCGCTGCACGCGCAGCAGCTGCGCCATGTAGACGCGCTGCACGCACCACGACACATGTACACTCACCGGGCGGCGCGTGCGGCTGCTGCAGGTGGAGCGCGGCTGCGAAGGCCCGTCCGCCGGTGGCGCCGCGCGCGCGCTGCACGCGCAGCAGCTGCGCCATGTAGACGCGCTGCACGCACCACGACACATGTACACTCACCGGGCGGCGCGTGCGGCTGCTGCAGGTGGAGCGCGGCTGCGAAGGCCCGTCCGCCGGTGGCGCCGCGCGCGCGCTGCACGCGCAGCAGCTGCGCCATGTAGACGCGCTGCACGCACCACGACACATGTACACTCACCGGGCGGCGCGTGCGGCTGCTGCAGGTGGAGCGCGGCTGCGAAGGCCCGTCCGCCGGTGGCGCCGCGCGCGCGCTGCACGCGCAGCAGCTGCGCCATGTAGACGCGCTCCACGCTGAGCCGCGCCAGCGCGCCCGCCGGGCACGCGTCCAGCGCGCTCAGCAACGCGCTGCACGACATGTACATATATAGTTTTTCCATGTCGATCGGCGAGAAACATGATGAATGGAAATTCTTTGATCGATTACTATTTCATTAATATTTAATTCATTTCAGATACTCTTATTCCTATTAAGATCTAAAACACGTACGATTTCGTAGTATAAAAAAAACGTACACGCCTCTCGTGTTAGTACTGTGAATTTCTTTTCTACTTGCTTCTATCTGCGAAAACATATAAATGACTTCTGTTTAAATTATGTTTATTATTGTTCCTGTAAATAGTTTTGATTTCCCAACAAAAATTTCTAAAATAATTCCGATATGATCTATCGTGGATATATGAAGTTACAGAGGTGAGGAGTAGCACCGACCTCATGGAGGCGACGGGCATGCCGAAGGTCTGTATGAAGAGCGCGAGCTTGCTGGCGGGCAGCGCGCGCAGCCCGTGCGCGAGCAGCGCGGGCCGCGCCGACCGCACCAGGTGCAGCCGCAGCCAGTCCGGCAGCAGCAGCGCCTCCGGGGGCTCGCCCCCCGCACCACCCACCGACCCCGCGCCCCCCACCGGGCCCACCACAGCCGGCGCGTCCGGGCCCACCCACGCCGCCTGCAGCCACGAGTACATCTCCTGCTCCGTGTCATCTGCAAACATAAGACCTTGGCTCGGATTATATTTACTTCATTTGGGACCTAGAAGTCCCTATACAGTACGATTAAACAGTAGCAAAGGTATTTGTCTCGCCTATTTCAGCCGCCTAGCTGAAAAATATTTGCATTGCGCGAGGAATCGATCTCGCGACGGTTCGAGGCGAGGCGGAGTGCTAAATAGATAGACTACAATGAATGGAATTAGAATCCCGTAACCGTCCCATCCCGTACTCACAGATGGAGGGCCCGTAGCAGAGCAGCTTGAGGTGCGCCTGCGCCACGATCACGTGCAGCGTGGCGCGGCGGCCGCTCGGCCACTGCAGCGCCACGCGCTCCGCGCCGCCCCACTCGCCCTCCGCCCCCTCCCCGCCCCCCGCCGTACTCACAGATGGAGGGCCCGTAGCAGAGCAGCTTGAGGTGCGCCTGCGCCACGATCACGTGCAGCGTGGCGCGGCGGCCGCTCGGCCACTGCAGCGCCACGCGCTCCGCGCCGCCCCACTCGCCCTCCGCCCCCTCCCCGCCCCCCGCCGTACTCACAGATGGAGGGCCCGTAGCAGAGCAGCTTGAGGTGCGCCTGCGCCACGATCACGTGCAGCGTGGCGCGGCGGCCGCTCGGCCACTGCAGCGCCACGCGCTCCGCGCCGCCCCACTCGCCCTCCGCCCCCTCCCCGCCCTCCGCCGCCTCCGCTCCGCCCGCCGCCGCCTCCTCGCGCCCGCCCACCTGCAGTTGCTGCAATGGTCCTCACACATCAATATATTAATCATTCATTCATTCATTCATAATTTAAGAGCTACGCGCTTGTCGGTGTAGCTCTTGCCACTTTCCACGATCTTTTAAGATATGAAGGAAACAATCCTCTGACTATTCCCCTGACATTAGTCAAGATCTTTTATATTTAAAAACAACAACAACATTAAGGTATGAAAGAAACAATGCCTTTAATTATTCCCCTGAGATTACAGTCATTTTGTATGTTTTATATTCTTTTTAAATAAATAAGAATAGAATAGAATAGAATAGAATAGAATAGAAAATCATTTATTCAAATAAACTTACATTGAAGCACTTTTGAATAGTCATAACATTTTTTTTTTTTAATCTACCGCTCATTCGGAATGCTGTCTCATCACAAGAAGAACAAGCAAGAAACTTGTGTGTTGCTCTTTTAAATAATTTATTCTTACTTACAATTTAAGTTTAAGTGTGTGAATACAAACCACCGATTAGCACTAATTCAATGAAATAATAAAAATAGAAAAAAAAACATTCAATATACAACAACTGGTTAAACAATTAATAAGAGAAAATAAGTCAATCAAGAACAATATTCCATTCGTATTAAATTGAAAGACGTCTGTACCTGCTGCAGATGCGTGTAGAATATGAGAGTGAGCGCGTGCAGCGTGCGATGCTGAATACGCGAAGGTGCGGGCGCGGGCTCCCGCAGCTCAGCAGGGGGCAGCACATTGCCGATCACCGTCGTCCGCTCCATCACCACCTGCCCACACAAACCATCACTTAATGAAGAACTACGTTTTTCTTACTATTACTTTCTGTCCGTTTTAATTACTTTTTCATCTCCAGATTCGACGAACTGGTATACATTTTATTACTTAAAAGGGGTGACGTCGAGGTGAGCTTCGGCCTAACTTGACTCCAGGGGCAATAGCCCCCATCTACGTATCATCACGCTAGCATCGTACATTATTTCGCAACACTAACATTTTATCCATACGTCGCTGGTCCAGACCCGGCTCGAAGGACCAATGTTGTAGTTGTACCGAAACTATAAAGATTCTGTTAGGTAAAACTGATAAATGATACTGATTTAGGCCGCGCACACGGCCGCCTGAGAGTGACGCTAGTGTCAGTCGTCTACGTCAGTCTCACCTGCGCGAGGTCGAGCGCGAGGTGCGAGTGCGGCGCGCGGTCGGCGGCGTGGCGCGCGAGGAAGGCGAGGTAGGCGGCCACGTGCGCGGGCACGCACTCCACCAGGCACGCCGCCTGAGAGTGATGCTAGTGTCAGTCGTCTACGTCAGTCTCACCTGCGCGAGGTCGAGCGCGAGGTGCGAGTGCGGCGCGCGGTCGGCGGCGTGGCGCGCGAGGAAGGCGAGGTAGGCGGCCACGTGCGCGGGCACGCACTCCACCAGGCACGCCGCCTGAGAGTGATGCTAGTGTCAGTCGTCTACGTCAGTCGCGCGAGGTCGAGCGCGAGGTGCGAGTGCGGCGCGCGGTCGGCGGCGTGGCGCGCGAGGAAGGCGAGGTAGGCGGCCACGTGCGCGGGCACGCACTCCACCAGGCACGCCGCACGCACGCGCGCCGCCACCTCCTCGCGCACGGCCGCCCAGTGCCGCAGCGACCACACCAGCTCCAGCCACTCCCTGCGACAAACGCGCTCTCTTACTCGCACTCTATCATAGACACACCATTAATACCCCTCAGTACTACAGTCTTAGCACCTATATCAGCCGCCAAACACCTTGTTTTGTGAACTGCTTCATTTTTTTTGTTATTATTATATCTGCCGCTTCCTTTGTGGCGACATCCTTTTGACCTATTTATGAACAGTTTATCATAGGCAGGATAAGAGGCATGTTATCGTTGTCTTCTGGAAACAAGGAAAGGAACCAAACACCAAGTCACCTGGACGTATTAATAGAAGTATAATAGAATATTACAATAGTGTAACACCGTCCTTATACAGGTTAGGAGAAACTAGTGACATGACATCAATCCGACTCAAAGGACCACACAATGTTACGTTCTATACATGAAATAAAAATAATTAATTAAATAAGAGGTAATGAACTCACTCGGGGCTGACGTCTGCATTGTAGTCCATCTCAATGGTATCATCCGTCGTCTGCGTTAGCACCAACTTAAGACCCTGCAGAACAATATATTTATTATAGAAACATACCTACATACTTGTTAACACTAAAATTATAATACACAGTAGCGAGAAAGTCACTCTCTCTCTCACACACTATAGCACTGCTAGAGGGAGACAGAAAGAAAGCGGACGTACCCTGGCGGCGGCGGCGCGCGTGGGCGCATGCGCGTGCGCAAGCCGCTGCAGGTAGTAGTGCAGCACGGCGCGCGCGCCGGCCGCGCTGGCCGCCACGGTGCGGCGGAGGTGCGCGCACAGCTCGCCCGCCTTGCTGCCCTCGCCCCCCGCGCCGCCCACCCCGCCCGCGGACAGGAACTCGCACAGGCACTGCACCGGCAGCACGCTGCTCCGACCCAAACACGACAACGATTACGAACTGAACCGTCTCGATAGGCACTAACTGAGCCTATCGAGACGGTTAAATAAATATACATTATAGATTGCAGAGGACATGTATTATGGATTACAGGTGCAGATAACGGCTATATGTTTTTATAGCTATTCTATTCCTTTTTAAATTTATGAAGAAATCCTTGATTCCTTAAATTTAAAGTTTCGATGACAATGCGTAGATGCTTCGCATTGTCACAGCTCAGAAACACAGACAGATAGACGAATAACTTGATAATATCAAAATAAAGTAACCAGGCTATTTTTAGAGCTAATTACAGAAATTATTCGAAATAAGTACGTGGTTAATTTCTTTAATGAATCTTGAAAATAGTTACCCAAACTGTAGCTCTCCATCAAAATATGGCAATATTATTTTAGGTAGTTGTCTACCTGTTTCAGTAAAGAAAAGCAAAGCATCGGCTAGTGGTACCACCATAAAAGACTTTGGTCTAACCTGAGCTCCAATTGGTCGGTACGCAGCAGCTGATGCAGCCAGGGCATGGCGCGGCGGGTGCCGTGCCGCTCCACCAGGTCCAGCAGCAACGCCGGCTGACGACACAGGAGCTTGCTGAGCCGCATTTGAGTGCTCATAGCCTGCAGCGCATCTAGGGTTGCCTGCGGAGGCTTGCGCGCCGGGCCCATCGGGTCCAAGATGGTCAACTGTAGGTAATAAAAATAATATATATGAAAGTATTCTAGGTTTGTATTCACATTACATAGTAATATAAAAAAATTCCCTGAACAATTAACACAGCATTATCTAGAGTCTCTCTACTAGACAACTGATAAAAATGCTTAAACACATTTTTTTCTGAATCATTCATGGATTATGAACTGTAGATAACTATTCCTGCAGTTTGTATATAAAAGAATACAACACTTAGCTTACCTGACTGAGCAGACGCGAGGAGTGCTCGGTAACTGGCAGCTTAGCACTGCTGGCAGCAGCCAAGTGCGTCTCCAGCTGCAGCACGGCGGCGCGCTCTGCTTCCAGCCGTTCAGCCTCGGCAGTAGGACTGGTGTTCCATTCGATGCTCGGCTTGCTGTAACACAAGTAATGCTAGCTTATCGGTCTGCTACTAATCTTACTAACAGGGGGCGGGGGTACATACTTGGTGATGCAGGTCTCCAGCAGCGCCCGCAGCGTGGGGTAGGCGGCGGGGGCGGGGGGCGGGGGTACATACTTGGTGATGCAGGTCTCCAGCAGCGCCCGCAGCGTGGGGTCGGCGGCGGCGGCGGGGGGCGGGAGTACATACTTGGTTATGCAGGTCTCCAGCAGCGCCCGCAGCGTGGGGTAGGCGGCGGCGGCGGGGGGCGGGGGTACATACTTGGTGATGCAGGTCTCCAGCAGCGCCCGCAGCGTGGGGTAGGCGGCGGCGGCGGGGGGCGGGGGTACATACTTGGTGATGCAGGTCTCCAGCAGCGCCCGCAGCGTGGGGTAGGCGGCGGCGGCGGGGGGCGGGGGTACATACTTGGTGATGCAGGTCTCCAGCAGCGCCCGCAGCGTGGGGTAGGCGGCGGCGGCGGGGGGCGGGGGTACATACTTGGTGATGCAGGTCTCCAGCAGCGCCCGCAGCGTGGGGTAGGCGGCGGCGGCGGGGGGCGGGGGTACATACTTGGTGATGCAGGTCTCCAGCAGCGCCCGCAGCGTGGGGTAGGCGGCGGCGGCGGGGGCGGGGGTACATACTTGGTGATGCAGGTCTCCAGCAGCGCCCGCAGCGTGGGGTAGTCGGCGGCGCCGGGGCGCGGGGGTACATACTTGGTGATGCAGGTCTCCAGCAGCGCCCGCAGCGTGGGGTAGGCGGCGGCGGCGGGGGCGGGGGTACATACTTGGTGATGCAGGTCTCCAGCAGCGCCCGCAGCGTGGGGTAGGCGGCGGCGGCGCGGGGCGGGGGTACATACTTGGTGATGCAGGTCTCCAGCAGCGCCCGCAGCGTGGGGTAGGCGGCGGCGGCGGGGGGCGGGGGTACATACTTGGTGATGCAGGTCTCCAGCAGCGCCCGCAGCGTGGGGTAGGCGGCGGCGGCTCGCTGTGCGAACGAGTCGGGGTTGTGCGCCGCCAGCAGCGCCAGCAGCGTCCAGCCGCGCCAGTACAGCGACGTGATGGCCAGCGCCGGCGGGCTGTACCTGCACCGCAATATTATGACAATAATAATCCAGGAAAATTCACACAGCGCCATCTGGTTCCAAGCTAAACAGAGCTCTTGTTGTGAGTACTAAACGACTGATAGATATACACACATAATATACATAGAAGACATCCCTACCAAACACACTGATTAATACGATTGTACAGTGCGAGGAATCGAACCTACGACTATCATACGTCAAACTTTAAAACCACTACACTAGCGAGGCCGTCAACTTTGCCATTGGTATCACATAAAATAGTGGTGTAAGCGCATAGAGACCCTGCAGGCAGCGTGATGTTGTCCGGCGGGTGGAACTGGCACAGCTGGAAGATGTACTCGGCCACCTCCAGCTTGTCGACCTGGAGCGGGCCCTCGTCGGGCGGCAGCGCGCACGCTCGCCGCACCACCTGCTCCACCAGCTCGAACGACTCCGCCGCAGACACCGGCAGCTCCTGCGGGGACCAGCATGGAGTGATGAGGGGGGGGGGGATTCAGATTAAGTCATAACATTAATAACACTGAAGAATATACACGGCGCCAGTGTCACGTGACTGCCCAAACTTAAGAAACCTTAATATACTCTTCTTGAAAAAACCCTAGTTCATTTCACAATCTACGTATAAACGAGAGAAAGCTTTTATGAAATCGCTCTGTCTGAGACCACTTAGGTCCCTACGTGTGGGTTTGAATTCCCTTTCGACAGTGAGGGGTGACATTACAATCAGGGTAGATACATCTGTATATATCTACAGGTATGGTTTAATGTCTGTACATTACACCATTCCTGATAGACTCTAACGGTCTTATTACAAAAAATCTGTTAAAACTCGGACGAAACGTGGTCTAAATGGTCGTGGTTTAAACCATTGCTAATGTTAATACTTGGAATAAACCTAACATTATTACGAATCCAGATCTAACAGAGGACTACTTAGCACTACTGTATTCCATACAGAAATCAGTCACTCATGTCTGTCACCGTACAATTACGTTCCATTTTACCAGAAAACTGAAAAGATCAAAAATAATATTAGTTCAAAGAAAAATGTATAAACTAAAAATAAATTTATTTCTATTTATCTAGGTCTTCATTATAACTATTTCATTAATATATAATATTTATTAATGTACTATTAGGCTGAAAATCAGTTTTAAATTACAAGTAGGAGTCCTATACGGAGGAAAGGAACGGTGAGATATTTTTATTGGATCGTTCGAATGGTGACTATTTCAAAGTCAAATGAGTGAAAAAATAACAAATAACGTCTTTTATATATTTTTATTGTCGTAAAATTTGCTTTAAATATTTTTAGTCAATATATTTTTAATTTAGTTAAAATATTTTTCCAAAAACTACAACTTACAATAGAATTTTTAAAATGGAGTTTGTATTTTTGCATTTAGACCACTGTTAAACTAGGGGCATCGCAGGTCTAACTTTAGACCATAGACGAATCACGATTTATAAACTTCATTTTGTAATAAGGAATACATTGGTGAATGGTTTATTACTAGTGCTAAACCAGGTTTATCTTTTTGTAATAAGGCCGTAATAGTGTACGTATTTTATAATCTGGGATTATAAGCCCCCATACCTTAGTCCACATTTTTTTTTTCTTGGGGAAATCCGTCCTGGAGGCCCGCCCGCTCCAGGGGTAACGAGCGGGTACTGCCGAACTCCTACCGGCTAAAACCCCAAGGTATACCTCTACTGCTTGTTGCCGGAGCTCCGGGTGTGCGCGAGCATTCTTCCGCAGCTCCGACGGCAGTCCACATATTACAACATTCGCATATCACTCTTTAATTAACCATCACATATTTCGTTCACTAAATTCAAAACAGCTGTTACACCATATTTACTGAGCAAATCCTATTACACACTAAACGATTACTTGATTATCTGCATGGCAATAGTTGTTTGTTCTCAGGATTTTCATTAAATGTTAGACATCGACATCTATATAAGTATAAAATGTAAATAAAGTGGCTTTTAAAAAAATATAAATTCAGTTAAGTTTCGTGCCAGTTCTTCTCAATTGATGCTATACTTAACTGAACGGTAGGGAAAAATAATATAAAAATTTTGACGTTCGTAAGCTACAATGTCCTAAATGAATAAATGAATTTGATTTAAAAAAAACCTGTTGAAATCAAAATAAATAATTTAAAACAAATGAAATGTATGATCGGCACGCACGGTAGAACACAAAATGAAATAAACATAAGTTAAACCAAACAACACAAATGTGCAAGTATAGAGTCTGTAAGGGTACCTTGGAGAGTCCGATGAAGATGACCCTGAGGAGGTTGACCTGCGGTAGTGGCGCCTCGCAGCACAGCCGGTAGGTGAGCGCGCGCTCCGACTCGGGCGGCCAGTTGTCGGGCTTGCTGTACGCCTCCGCCGCCTCAACGAACATTATCTGCACGCACCATCAGCTATTTAATTATTGCTTCTCACATCGTACATGATATATGTGAATTACGAAGGCCACAGCCAGAGCTTGCAAAAATAATGCAATTTATAACGTTTTTTATAATAATAATAATCTCAAGACAATTCACACAGCGCCATCTAGACCTAAGTTAAGCTTGCTAAAGCTTGTGTTATGGGTACTAGACAACTGATCAAATACATAGTGTATAAATCATAGTTGAAAATTTGTGGAGATACATAAATAAAACGCCATGATGGAATTTTTACATCTCTAACAATATTTTTTATTCTTAAAACAAATGAATGTGAACCGCGTTCGAAATTTAAAATAAATACAAAGAAGTTTTTATGTCTCGTACACATAGATAATTTTTTTTTTCGTAAATACATACATATTATATATAGAAAACACCCAGAGCGACACAAACAATCATACTCATGAATACAAATGTTTGTGCCGTGCGAGGAATCGAACCCGCGACCATCGGACGTAAAGCGGTGTACTAAACCACTAGACCAACGAGGTCGTCTATATTAAAGATAACTATATATTTAATTCTAATATATTAATTTTATTATTACAATCAGCTATTGTAATGATTTTATATTATTAGTGTTGCCATGTCTAAACTCTATCTTACATTTTTCCACAGGAAATAATGTGCATGTAAATCTATAGTACAAATTAAAACAAAGATTTTTTTGTACTATAATGTTTGTAGTATATACATAAATGTATGTGTGTGTTTCAATTTTTACAACTTAAATAATGCAACTAGGTACTAGCCCCGGCTTAGCTCGGGTGCACATGTATTATATGTATAAACCTTCCTCTTGAATCACTCTATCTAATAAAAAAAAACCGCTTCAAAATCCGTTGCGTAGTTTTAAAGATTTAACCATACATAGGGACGTACAGACAGCGACAGCGACTTTCTTTTATACTATGTAATGACTATGGAACGTGTCTTGTCTGTAAGCGGCCAGTTGTCATGAAAAGAGGTAATGATGTGAAATGATTATTATACAACTGTATACAGTATATCATAGATGTGTGTGGTGGTGCGCTAGGTACCTTGTTGAGCGCGTGCTGGTAGTCGTGCCGCGAGGGCCGGTAGATGGGCATGGCGGTGTCCAGCAGCCAGCCCAGCGCCGCGCCCTGTATGCCGCACAGCTGCTGCTTGTACTCCGGCAGGTGCTTGCTGTGCGAGGCCGTCACCAGGCAGCAGCAGCAGAACAGGTCCGCCAGCGACGAGAACGCGCGCTCCCGCACCTATTGCGCATACTATATCACGACTTCTGTGGTTCATAATCTAGTAATTTACCACATTGCATCGAGTGAGAAGCGGGGACGCACGGGTGATGGGTGACCGTCACAATTCGATAAGCAGATTTGACGTCACGTAATGTAGTACTTGTTATAAAAATTTAATTTTAATGTACCAGCTAAACGTACCAGATTTACTCCTTCTGTATTATCTAACTATAGGCAAAACAGTTATATGTGGCGAGCAAGTAATAACTTCAATAGATTAAGTAGGGTGTTAGATATTGATTTGTTTTCCGATAGAATATCTTTAGCGAGGGTCGTGATGAGCAGGCAATTCTTTGAGTTATAAGTTTTGAATTTAATGTTACTTACATGCATTTCCATTATTTAAAAATGTTTGTTTGTTAATTTCAGCATATGTTTTAATTTAGATGATTGTTATTGTTTGATATATGATTTTATGAGTATTTATAACACAAACACGCCTCTCATGCGTAAACGAAATATCTCCTTTGGAAAGTTTACACTCTTTCCCGAGGAGATAAAAACGATCGCTCCTAAGAATATCCTTCAATTCTTGTCCCTGACGGGTCTAGGTAGCGAACTCTGAAAAGGGCGAGCACAATAGATCTATGTAGGTCGCAGTGCTACAGGTGCTACACATCTGACAATAGCCCAAACAATCCAATAAAAAAAAAACACGCCTCTCGTGTTAGTACTGTAATTTATTTTATATTACGTTTCTATCCGTGAAAACCTATAAGTGGCCGCTATTATTTAATTATGTTTATAACTATGTTTGTAAATAGCCTTGGTTTTCCGAAAAAAAAAAAGTATAGGAGTGGGCGGGTACCTCTGGTGCGGGCTCGTGCGGCGGGGGCTGCGCGAGTGCGCGTGCGAGCGGCGCCAGGGCGGCGGCGTCGGCCCGCGCGGCCCGCACGCACTCCCGCGTCAGCGCCCGCAGCGGCCGCAGGTAGTCCTCCGCGCGCAGCACCAGCTCCTGGGACCCACCGCCATTACATTACCATACTTATATTGTTGGCTACGTCAGTAGCCTGGCTCTACACGCACGACGGCCCGAATGAGAGGCCCATTGCGGAAAATGGAGTCCAACCTACACTACTTATATTTTTAGTACATTACTATATAAGTGCGTTATGATGGTACACAGGCGGTGACATTTCAACTCGGACCACAGGCGAGTGCGTTAAATACGCACGTATATCGTACGTTTCTTAACGCACTTGATTTTAAATAAATTCAAGCATAAAACTGTGGTTGCTCTCCGGCCGTTTTACATTTTAAAATCAGCGCGATGCCTCATACCATGATGATGGTGGTGAGACCGGTACGTACCTGGTAGGTGTCGGCCATGGCGGCGGGCACCTGCTGCGGCTGCGCCTGTATGAGCGCGGCCAGCACCGCCATGTTGTTGGGCGAGCGCACGTTGGACAGCTCGTTGTAGATGGTGTGGGTGACCACGCTGCGCAGCAGCGCCGGACTGTCCGACACCATCTCCCTGCCGACCCGAAACCAAACCCGTACCAATACAGTAATACACATACAAACGTGTATTTCGAGTTGGGAATTCTTATTTATTTATTATAGGAAAACTAAAGCTATACTTAATGATACTCATACTTATGATTATTATAAGCTATTTTATTTTATTTTTTGCTATTTTATTGGCAAGTAAGACAAATTAAGTGCATGTTACATTGATGTATCTAGGTAACAGTGTCCCATAATTTTCATAAATTTTATATACTCTATTCTTGAAATAATATAGAACTTTTAATATTATTTATGGGTTTTTTGAGGGACAACAGTATAGCTATTGCAATCTGTGTAATCGTTTGTTCAAAACTTCACACCAGCAGAGCACCAATGGATGATAAGATGAGTATGTAGTCAGGTCAGACCTAACAAGCAGCAGTAGGAGTCACAGACCTGAGGCAGGCCTGGTAGGCGGCCTGCAGCGGCTTGGTCTTGAGCCTCATGCGCGCGAGCTGTGCGAGGACCTCGTGGTCGCGCGGGGCGGTGGGCCCGCAGGCGTCCGCGTTGAGGCACACGTACGCGAGCAGCTCCTGGGCGCAGCGCCATAGCTTGCCCGAGTGCAGCCACGCCTCCAGCCGCGACGCCGATATCATGCGGATCTGACGACCGTGAAAGAAACACGTAACATCTCTTTGTTACAATTAAAAGTAAAAGTACTTTTCATACAACAAACATCTGTTACTTTTATACTAATTCATATATCTAATTGTAGGGTCTGGTCTGCTCTTATCACTACGACTGATTTAATCTAATTGCATATTTGTATTTGACCCAAAAAATTGGTGCTGGTTGGTAGTTTGTATTCACGCGTTTCGACTTGTAAGTGTAAACTTACAAGGATTATTTAAAAGAGCAACACACAAGTTTCTTGCTTGTTCTTCTTGTGATGAGACAGCTCTCCGAACGAGTGGTAGATAAAAAACAAATTGTTATGACTGTAGGCGATTCCCACACATAAATACACAGCTTCATAAATTTATTTATAGTTATTTACAAATATTTATTACATACAATTATTTAATAATAATAACCTTAATTATATACAATATACATATACTTATACATAAATATATACGTAATATTTATTTACACTTTATCAATAATAAACCGTACCGGTTCGTCTAGTACAATTGCAGCGTGCAGTGGAAACGCTCAATAAGAGGTTGACGTCACAACTCTTTTGTTCGCTATGTAGGTAGTCAGCGCGCCGAGGAACCGGCCAACAGCGCGAGCGCACATTCAATTCGATATTACCAAACCAGTCGAGAACTATCTATGACGCGGAACGCTCGCTACTCGCTTGATAAATCGGCCGTACTGTAATTGATATTGCTCTGCTTATTCTCATTTATATCACCTTATTCATTAGTGCTTATATTCATTAGTGCTTATTTCTTTACTGTGCTTGTGACTTTCTTCTCCTTCTACTGTATATACTTTCTTCCTATCTAAGTGTAACTGTGTTTACGTGTTGGGACAATATATACATACATATTTATCAACCGTAAGTCGAACTTTTATTTTATATCTACACTAATAAGAAGCCCAAACTGGTGACCCCGTATTTAAACATGAATAAAGAATTCCAAGACGCACAAGAAGGCACGCAATATGGCGCTGAGGAACGCGGAGAGCGCAGTTCCATTGTCACTGCTGACGAGAATATTGACGGACGAGAATTTTCCCGTGCAAGTCGCGACGGAGCAGAGGTTTATAAAGTATCCGTCCGTGTACCACCATTCTGGCCCGAAGAACCGGAAATATGGTTCGCTCAGGTGGAGGGACAATTTTCAATTTCCGGCATTACCAACGACGCTACAAAATTCAATTATGTCATCAGCCAGTTGGACAATAAATATTCTAGAGAGGTGAAGGATATTATTATAAGTCCTCCCGCGACGCAGAAATATGACAAGCTCAAGGCTGAGCTCATCAAGAGGCTGACGGCATCAAATGAAAATAAGCTGAAGCAGTTGTTGATGCATGAGGAGCTAGGAGATCGGAAGCCCTCCCAATTTCTTCGCCATTTAAAGGGACTGGCTGGTATCGACGTTCCGGACGACTTCCTAAAGACCATATGGATCAGTCGTCTCCCACATGGTGTCCAGACGGTGTTAGCGGGACAGCCTGCCACTACTCACGTGGATGACTTGGCAGATTTGGCAGACCGGGCAAACGACCTCACTGTAGTGTCGCCCAGGGTAGCTTCTATGAACCAGGCCTCCTCTAATACGGAGCTCAGTGACCTTAGAAGGGAAGTCGCGGAGCTTCGTAGGCAAATGCAGTCGCTGACGACTAATAGAGGCATTCCCCAACACCACCCGCAACCACCATCTCGACGTACCACGCGCAGTAGAACTCGGTCAAAATCGCGGTCACAGTCTAATTACCGCAAATTCCCGATCTGCTGGTACCACAGTAAATTCGGCGATAAGGCCAGCCACTGTATCCACCCCTGTGACTTTAAAATGGCGGGAAACTCCATGGGCAGTCGGTAATGGCGGCTGACGATTGCCCATCCTCTACTGCTGGTCGCCTTTTCGTTACCGACCGATCTTCGAAGTTACAGTTCCTGGTCGACACTGGTAGCGACCTCTGTGGAAAATGCGTGACCGTCGTGCCCCTACTAACTTCGAGTTGTGTGCAGCTAATGGCTCATATATCAACATACGGTTATGTACATTTAACTTTAAATTTTGGTATGCATAGAGACTATAGTTGGCGCTTCGTAGTTGCTGATGTAACCAAACCTATTATAGGAGTAGATTTTTTAAAATTTTATAATTTAATAGTAGATTGCCGCAATAAAAAGCTGATAGATAATACTACATCTATATTTTCTGTTGCCACATCTGTAGATTGTAAAAATGTTCACTCTGTAAAGGTCTTGACTGGTGATTCTCGTTATCATAAAATTCTTGATGAGTTTCCAGATATCACTAGACCAGCTGGTACACATCACACAATACCACACAACACCGTCCATCATATCCGCACGACACCAGGCCCTCCAGTATCTAGCTCACCCCGTCGCCTAGCCCCCGATAAACTTAAAATAGCGCGACAGGAATTTCAGTCGATGATCACCAGCGGCACAGCCCGGCTTTCGGAGATCCCCTGGTCATCGCCTCTGCACCTAGCGCCAAAGAAGGACAACGGTTGGCGTCCATGCGGGGATTACAGGTTGCTTAACGCTCGTACAGTGCCTGACAGGTATCCGATTAAGCATATTCACGACTTTTCACACAGCATTTCAGGCTGTAAAGTCTTCAGTACGCTGGATCTCGTGAAGGCATACAATCAGATACCTGTCAGTCCTGACGATATATCGAAGACAGCAATAACTACGCCATTCGGGTTATTCGAATTTCCCTTCATGACCTTTGGTCTTAGGAATGCAGGGCAAACCTTTCAAAGATTTGTCGATGAGATGACCCGAGGCCTCGATTTCGTATATTGCTATCTCGACGACTTTCTAATCTTCTCTAGGAGCGAGACACAGCATGAGGATCACCTCCGTAAGGTATTCATGAGGCTAAAAGACTATGGCATGCTGGTTAATACGTCCAAGTGTGTCTTCGGGGCTAAAGAGGTAACCGGCTACAATATCTCTGAGCATGGCACCAAACCACTGGACTCCAAAGTGCAGGCCATAAGGGACTTTCCTACCCCCACCAACGTACGTCAGTTAAGGAGATTTTTGGGCATGCTCAACTTTTATAGGAGATTTATTCCTCAAGCCGCCCAAACTCAAGCTCCTTTAAACGCGTTGCTGACTGGGGCTGTAAAAGGATCACACCCAATCAATTTATCAGGTGACACCCTATCGGCATTTGAGTCCTGTAAGGATGGACTTTCTAACGCAGCTTTGTTAGCCCACCCAGACTGCAGTGCTAAGTTAGCATTGGTGACGGACGCATTCGATAAGGCTTTGGGTTGTCTTACAGCAGTATAAAAACGATCTGTGGGAACCTTTAGCTTTTTCTCCGGAAGTTAACAACTTCCCAAGAAAAATATTCCCCCTACGATCGTGAGTTACTGGCTATTTACGAAGCTATAAAGTATTTCCGTCACATGCTCGAAGCCAGGCACTTTATTGTTTATACCCCACAAGCCGATCAGTTTCGCATTCCACGAAAGGAAGACAAACTGCTCGCCTATATAGGCACCTGGACTTCATCTCTCAATTCACCACCGACATTCGGCACATATCCGGCAAGGATAATGTCGTCGCGGATACTCTGTCGCGTATTGATGAATTGAGCAGTCCATAGATCTCGACCTCTTAGCCCAAAGTCAAGTCACCGATGCTGAGTTAGCAAAACTCATCGAGGAAGGATCATCTTTATGCCTCGAAAAACTACATATACCTGGAAGTCGCTTACCCTTGTACTGCGACGTCAGTACAGCGACATCCAGGCCTTTTGTAACAAAACCCTTCAGAAAGCAAGTCTTTAATAGCCTGCATTCCCTTAGCCACCCTGGACAAGAAGCTTCCGCCAAATTAATAGCGGAACGGTTCGTTTGGCCAGGTGTTAGGAAAGATTGTAGGGACTGGGCACGCGTCTGCATTTCGTGCCAACGTGTAAAAATTAATCGGCACGTCAATTCCCCTCTTGCCAACTTTAAATTACCACGGGCGAGATTCACTCAGATTCATATTGATCTGGTGGGTCCGCTGCCAGTCTCGCAAGGCTATCGGTATTGTCTTACTGGCGTAGATCGTTTCACACGATGGCCGGAAGCAGTACCGATACAAGACATTACTGCGGAGACTGTGGCGAAAACCTTATTGTCATCGTGGATTGCTCGTTTTGGTTGCCCATTAGTCATTACAACCGACCGTGGACGGCAATTTGAATCAGCACTGTTCGAAAGTCTGTCCAAAATGACTGGTTTTGAGCATAAACGGACGACCGCATACCATCCACAATGCAACGGTCTCGTGGAGCGCTTCCACAGGCAACTCAAGGCGGCAATAGTATGTCACGCTAATGACCAGTGGACAGAATCCTTGCCGTGGGTCTTGCTCGGTGTAAGAACCGCATGTAAGGACGAGTTACAGGCTTCGTCGGCAGAATTAGTATACGGCGAGCCGTTAAGACTACCTGGCGAATTTTTTGAGGCCACAGTACCCGGAACCACTGATATATCAGAATTTTCCGCTCGCCTTAGAAAATTTGCTGAAAACATACGTCCGGTACCCGCTTCGCGGCACTGCACCACAAAATGTTTCATCCACAAGGAATTAACCACCAGTGATCACGTCTTCCTACGTGAGGACGCATCACGTGGTTCACTCCAACCCGCTTACTCTGGCCCACATAAGGTTCTAACTAGAGGAGATAAAGTTTTTAAAATACTCCACAAAAATAAGGAAGTCACGGTTTCTATAGACCGATTAAAACCGGCTTTCATTCTTAGAGAACAAGATGAGGAACCCCAGCCTGAAGTTCACAAAGACCGTATCACTCGCTCTGGGCGGCGTGTGAAGTTTACAAATTTTTATCGCCCCTGACGGTCTCTGGTGGGGGGTGGTGTAGGCGATTCCCACACATAAATACACAGCTTCATAAATTTATTTATAGTTATTTACAAATATTTATTACATACAATTATTTAATAATAATAACCTTAATTATATACAATATACATATACTTATACATAAATATATACGTAATATTTATTTACACTTTATCAATAATAAACCGTACCGGTTCGTCTAGTACAATTGCAGCGTGCAGTGGAAACGCTCAATAAGTTTGACGTCACAACTCTTTTGTTCGCTATGTAGGTAGTCAGCGCGCCGAGGAACCGGCCAACAGCGCGAGCGCACATTCAATTCGATATTACCAAACCAGTCGAGAACTATCTATGACGCGGAACGCTCGCTACTCGCTTGATAAATCGGCCGTACTGTAACACATATCACCTTATTCATTAGTGCTTATATTCATTAGTGCTTATTTCTTTACTGTGCTTGTGACTTTCTTCTCCTTCTACTGTATATACTTTCTTCCTATCTAAGTGTAACTGTGTTTACGTGTTGGGACAATATATACATACATATTTATCAACCGTAAGTCGAACTTTTATTTTATATCTACACTAATAAGAAGCCCAAACGACTATTGAAAAGTGCATAAATTAAGTTTATTTGAATAAATGATTTTCTATTCTATTCTATAGTTGTGTGATTAAGGTACATGAAAGAATTCAGTCAATCATTAAAATATACTAGTTTTTATATGAAACTAATAACAGATAGACCAATCATGTACTAAGCTTTGCCTCTTTATGGCTAATGTAATACAGAACTCATATTGCTTAGCTTACTTTGAGAAATCCGTCCGGCTCTTAAATATTGACAGAGTGGAATTTAAAAATCTGTAATATATGTACTCACTGGAGCTGCTCCAATACACTTCAGCCTATTTTAGGGACTGACAACATAGTCTTCTACTTATTAATTTTAGATTCAATTTTTCAAGTATTTTTTAAGATACACAAAAATTTACTTTCAAAATACGTAAGTGTATTAAAGTACTTACTACTTCATTGCTATCACATATACAGTTATTAAATAAGATTTGTGTCTAATTTTTATTCTATCCAGTTAATTTCGAGACAAATTTATATAGATTTAGTAATAAAAACCTCAGGGAAACCGCAAGTAGCCGACAATAGTTTAAGAAAGCCTTTGTGTATGGCGTCGGGCGCGGCGCGGCGCTGTATTTGTTCCTTAATAGCTTCTAACACCAGCGCCTCCACCGCTTCGTTACTACTTGAATATCTGGAAATAATAAATAAATAAAAATAAATAATTTATAATATATTTATCGTATTGCATCCGGCTCGAAGGATCAAGAAATTTAGAATAGTATAATTACCTATATATTTATTTGGCGGACGGACAAATAAATATATGTAGGTAAAATTTGTTTTAATAAAGTTTTGAAATGAAATTAGAACGACACCCGTAATACATATGAAGCGTTGCTAGTGTCCGGAGGACAGAGTTGACATATCTTTATACCCTGTAATTTCACTGCCTTATACAGACATCTGACAGAGCAAGCTTGTTGGTGACTGAAATAGGTGAGATGGAGAAAATTGCTTCAACAGCGCAGACGACTTTCCACAGTCTTTATCCGTGAAATAAATAGTAATATTGACTATTAATAAAAAAACTATGATACTTTCTTGTATATCTTTAGGCCATACGTTTTTTTAATGGATGATAATGCGGGGTGCATTATCATCCATTAAAATCCCTCTTCCAACGGTTTACACCAGTGGAGGATGATAGGGTGAACATAAAATCAGATCATCACGATGGTTTCCAGCGGGAACTGCGTGTAGGTCACTCATAGTACATTGCTACCATGGGGTCACCAGTCCCCATTACTAACAATCCCCTTTCCCTCCTTAAGCGATAGTCTTGCATGTAACAATACAAACATTTTGTTCCTATATAAAAAGAAAGAAGGTGGAAAATTCTAGTGTTATACCTTGGGAACACAGAATATTCCAAATCTGTGTTGTCTGTATCTTCCTCAGTGCTGCCCATTAAAGGAGAACCAGACCCTGATGGTGACATTGTACCTGCACAGAAGTGTTTATCACTGTTGTAATTTTCTATAATAATATATAATAGGTAAATAATAATATGAAAAAACACTCAGACAACGATATTTATTTGTAATTAGCAGTTCCCGGGACTTTGTCCGGGAATTTCACTTTATTTTTCTAAAATAAAAGTAGCCTAAATTACTCCTTATTATATCAGCTACCTGCCAATAAGAGTCCCGTCAAAATCGGTCCAGCCATTTCAGAGATTAGCCGGAACAAACAGACCGACAGACAGACAAAAATTATAATAACTGTTATTTTGGTATATGTATCATATATTCATATGCATGTAGTAAAAAACGGTTATATCAATATTACAAACAGACACTCCAATTTTATTTATGTGATGGTAAAAATAATATTGTTAAAATAAGTTAGTAAAAATAACAAGAACTATAAAATTATTGAAGTTTTATAGTATACAAATACATAAAATTGAAGTGTCTGTTTGCAGTTTCCAATTGAATGAATGTATAATAAAACTGGCTGAATAACAGAACCAAAAAATAATAAATGAGAATGTGACGAAGTCTCGTCAAATATAGTTTCAGAGATTAGAAAGACAAGACAAAAGTTTATAAAACATTTTTTTGATGGAAATGCGGCATAATCTTTTGGATGCATTTATTGAAAAGATGTTAAAGTTACAAACATTTCAGTTTTATTTATTCTTATAGATGTACTTTCCATTCAAATATGTTTTGCTTTAAACACAGAGAGACAAACTTCTTAGCGGGGAGCTGGGTCCATCTTGTTTCAGGAAACTTCGAGCAGTTCACGGGACTTGTGACCCGAGCGTAGGTTTAAGAGGCCTCTTACGTACATACGTCAACTGTCACCTTCACTGCTCGTGTTTCTCTCACTGTCCAGACAAATTCGGTAGGAGACTGCTAGTGCAGCTTTAGATATACCTAGATCTTTTAGAAGGTTGTACAGAGATTTCTCTGGTATACCTCTCGTTCCCTCTTCGACCGCATACAAATTAACCACATTGCCATTCAAGTCTCACCTAACGTATTCTCGCTGGGTATGAGGTGTGACGGTGGATGTTTGGTCTTGAATGCGGTGACAATATTCTCCACCAGACACTTGCACCACGAACACTCCACCCACCAGCGCTCATTTAAAGCGTCTTCTATATAAACCTGAGTGATACACAAAATGGCATTAATAAACATGTTTTATACATTCATTCATAATTTGAGTCACGCTCTTAACGGTGGAGCTAGTTATTGAAGTCGCTGGCGGAAGACCCATAAAAAAAAATTATAAGTAAAACTAAATTTAATACTAAAATTAATTATTACAATATTAGAGGTGTCTTCGGATCGATGTGTGATCCATAAGTGAAGTTATATGAAATCAAAAATGATGCAAATGGGTATTATTGGTTTTCTTAGTAGCACACCTTCTTGCGTCTTGCTTGGTGGTCCGATCCGATCGCCGTTGAGGATGAGTCGAAATACTTTCTAGGTATCCATAACACAAGCTTTAGCTAGCTTAACTTGGTTCTACATAGCGCTGTGTGAATTGTCTTGAGATTATTACTATTACTTTTTAGTATTTAATTTGTCAGATGTGTAGCACCTGTAGCACTGCGACCTACATAGATCTATTGTGCTCGCCCTTTTCAGAGTTCCCTACCTAGACCCGTCAGGGACAAGAATTGAAGGATATTCTTAGGAGCGATCGTTTTTATCTCCTCGGGAAAGAGTGTAAACTTTCCAAAGGAGATATTTCGTTTATGCATGAGTGGGCTACAACCACATTAGTATTTAATTACATATACATAAGATTGTAGAAATTTAAATATATTACCTTAATAAAAGTATCAGGCCAGTTGGTACTCTCCCTGTGTCCTGCATACAGCATGTTACAGGCCAGAACGAACACCAATGGATTCCCTTTACTCTTGAACGCTGCCCCTTGTTCTCTCTTGAGCAGCGTACACAAGCTCTGTGTGACAACCTCATGTGAGAACATGTTGGGTCTGATCTTTGTGAGGTACAACATGCTCATGCATAGGATAGAGTCCGGCTTGGAACGTTGAGACTTCAGCAGCCGTATTGAACCCGTCAGCAGTCCCAGCTGTAATCATAATATATTTATTATTATTATTATAACACTTTATTGCACCAACATATAAAAGACATGAACAAATTAAAAACAAAAAAAAAAACTAAGTACAAAAGGCGGTCTTATCGCTAATGCCTTTGAAAAGAGAGTATTTACAAAAAAAAAAATAGAGTAGGTGGTGCATTAGTGGAAAAATAAAAATTGTATACACTTATGTAAACAATTTATTTATTCTTTAGCAAACAAAAATGTATATATGGAGGACTTAATGCTTGATGGCATTCTCTACCCGTCAACTGCGTTGATCAGAGATAATAAGGCAGTGCATTTTAATATATAATATAAAAAAACAATTAAAAACAGAAAAATACTATATATACACATATATCAGTTGTCTAGTCATAATACAAGCTCTGTTTAACTTGGGATTAGAGGGTGTGTGAATTATCCTGGTTTATTATTATAAATTCACTGCTATAACCCCCTTTGGATTATGGCAGTGAAACTTACAGACCCTTCAGCATGATTATTAGCTTCAGAAAAAGCTAAGACAAAAGTCATTTTAAGTATGCATGCTTTGGACCATAAAAAAAAAATAATTTAAGATAAATAATAGTAAAATGGATGCACAGAAATCCAATGAATATATAATTACATAGTATAAAACAAAGTCGTTGTCTGCCCGTCCCTATGTATGCTTAAATCTTTAAAACTATGCAACAAATTTTGAAGAGGTTTTTTTAATAGATAGAATGATTCAAGAGGAAGGTCAGTTTTTATAAATATTACTCATGTAAAGAGACAATTTATATTTAATTAATATAATTATTCCATATGTATATCAGTATGTAAGGTATTTATAATATGGGGAATCTAGACATAAAAAAGAAAAAGATAAAAATTACCAATTTATCAGAGTTATGTGTATCTAGTGCCTGTAGTACATTGGGCACCAGGTCTACTGGATCCACCTCCAAGGAAGTCCCGCCAACAGCTTCAGCAGGCGATCCAATTCTTGTTCTCTTGGTTGGTGGGGGAGCACCAAAGCCTGTTGACTCCCTTTTACGTTCTACTCCTATTTTGGATATACAGAAGTCATATATAATAACTTTAGCAGTAGTAATTTAGCACCAATAGCATCATAGCATCGTAAACCATTAGGGCAGGCAGGTAGGCATCATTCCATTAACATTAATAAAAAAATGTATTGTGTGTTATGGACACAATATTGACAACTTAATTGACTATTAGTACCAGGTCCATATCGAGCACTGCATAGTATTGAACCATAAACCTGAATGGGCACTTTGCCAGCTACCTTCCACATATTAACATCTTAGGATATATAATTACTAGCTGTCCCGGCAAACATTGTTTTGCCATATAAATTAATAACACTAAAAAAATAGGGGTTGGTGATAGAAGGGTGAAAATTTAGGGTTGTATGTATTTTTAGTGACACACAATAAAAAAATTTAAAAAAAATTTTGCCCAAAAAATAAAAAATAATGTTAAGGATGGACAAACCTTATCACTAATGGGTATGAAAAATAGATAGTAGCCGATTCTCAGACCTACTGAATATGCCTATAAAATTTCATAAAAATCGGTGAAGCCATTCCAGAGGAGTATGGTAACTAACATTGTGACATGAGAATTTTAAATATAACTAACAGACCCCGCATACATTGTTTTGCCTTATAATAAAAAATAAAAATTTGGGGTGGACTACCCCTAACATTTAGGGGGATGAAAAATAGATGTTGGCCGATTCTCAGACCTACTCAATACGCTCACAAAATTTCATGAGAATCGGTCAAGCCGTTTCGGAGGAGTATGGGAACGAAAACTGTGACACGAGAATTTTATATATAAGATATAAAATGTACATATACACAGGGGTCGATTGTGAATATGTAAGGCCCTGGGCTAAATCTACTTAGGGGCCTACCTAATTACATTAGTACACTCAACTAAAAAAATTCACCGGCCAAAAACAAGCGACACGAAATTCCCTGTTCCTTTCGATAGACACACGCTTGCATAGGTTGATTGATCTCAAGATTGCCAACCTTATGTTAGGTTTCTTAACGTTCTAGTTATTTTTTTATATTCTAAATATTGTGTCAGAGGGGTCTACCTAAGCGCTTTTTGGGCTGCAGTCCAGGGCCCCGAGGATACAAAGAGCCCACACTTTGTATCCTCGGGGCCCTGGACTGCAGCCCACAAAGCCCTTAGGTAGACCCGCCCTTGCATATACAGAGTACTTAATTTTTAAATTGAATTACAAGAGTTAGGTTACTTACCGCTTGTAGACGGTTTGTGAATATTACGCTTTTCAGAATCTCTGGAGACGACCACAGTAGACTTGCTACCCAACGCAAAGATGTCCTGAGGGTGCTGGGGAGCCTTGCTCTTGGCTCCGCGGCCAGCAGACGGCATTTTGCCCCGATCCATACCAATACAGATAGGTTATGTATCTATGAGCAACGTATGTAAGTAGACGAGCTCATAGAGAATCCGATTTTGTATTCAATTGCACAAATTATATTTACACTTCCATATTTTTCTCTAATGTAAAGTCACATATTAGTGGTATCGGCGAAAAGCCAAACAATAATGAAAATATTGAAGTTGATACGAGTCTATGAGAATTATATGTCAACAAAACTGCCAAATTGACGTATACTGTCAGTTATTGAACTTTTTTAATAATAGTTACGGCTCTAGAAACCATAATCTGTAATAGTGTAATGTTATAACAACACATCAATAGGATAATAATTAATGTCAAGAATATAAACTACACGCATTTCTCCCTGAAAACCATCCTGTCTAATTTCTTGTGGATTAATCACGATAGCATAACTGTCATGACTTCACCCTTATTCCATCACCCCATACATACACCAAAAAATTATTTTTTACAATTTTATCAGTCTGTCTGTTTGTTCCGGCTAATCTCTGAAATAGGTGGACCGATTTTGACGAGACTTTTATTGCCAGGTAGCTGATGTAATAAGGAGTAGATTAGGCTACTTTTATTTTAGAAAAATGATCTAATTAACTTTTTTGTTAAATTCCACGCGGACGAAGTGGCGGGTACAGCTAGTCATTCATAAAAAAGTTACCTTGTACATACATAAAATTGTGGTCACAACAGGCCATTCTCTGCGGTCCTGCTACATTATGAACTTGTGAATATTGCATTGATGTGAAATTTAATTTACTCTGCATATTGTTTTATAACGAAGTAAATCCATTTTAGTATCTTAAATAAGTGCTCAGCTATGCATTTCTCAAGAATACCCTTGACTTGAGCTATATTAACTTACTTGAGATTTTTGACTAAAGTTATCTAGGAGATCAACTCATAAGCATGATTCAATGTAAATAAGATAGGCTATGCATTTTATATATTTTAATTATTAAACTTATAATGAAACAATTAGTAATAGTAGTTAAATGAAAATAATCTTCTAACAATTGTAGCTTAAACATGTACCGCTGTTACTAACAATTCTCATTGAAACAGATCAAACTTTATAACTTTTTAATTATATACGCACAACGTAATTCCGAACCGAACTTAGCTTACATCTGTAACTCTTATATGATTAGAAAGTAGCAGATACATAAATTTTAATCTGTAGAATAGATACTACTTGTTAGTACTAGCGTTACTTGATTATACGTAATTATTATTTAGGACGTTTCGTTTCACGCTTGCTCTTGAAGAATGTCCGTTGGTTCTTGTCCTTCATTTTGTTTCTTACTTGGGACAATGATATTATTGCATTCTGTAATGGAACATTTGATTTAGTGATTAGTATCAATTATGTCAGATAAGTTAGTACACCTTGACAAATTCTTTGAGAATTTGTCACGATTGTTTCCAGGGGGAATATGGTGGTACATACTAACAACCCGCTCCTAATCATCAATCACATTACTAATATTCCTCCCTCTTGTGATAGAACAGAATAGAATATAATAGAAAATCATTTATTCAAATAGAGCTCGAGCTTCGAGCTCCACATGTTTAATGGTCAGCACATTGCCATCGGTGGGAAGGGGATTGTTAGTAATGTGGATTGATAACCCCATTGCTAGCAATGTACCTTGTCAGGTCCACCTCCACGCGGTGCCCCGGGAAACCATCGTGTTACATTCCTGGTGAATTTGTCACGATGATAACTGACCTGACCTCATGCTCATCTTATCATCCTCCGCTGCTGCCCCGTCAACGTAAACCGTTAGCGCAGGCGGGTGCACCATTCCATTATCCACAAAAAAAAGCCCGTTGCCATCAGCTGGGTTAATACGACGACAGTGGTCTAGCGGTTGAGCACCGCTTAGCACTTCCGATGGTCGCGACTTCGATTCCTCGCACGGTACATACATTTGTATTCCTGGGTACGATTGTTTGTATTCACGCTTCAGTGTCATAGGAGGTATGCAAACTCCTATAACTATTCTAAAATTCTCCACCGTTAGTATTATAGAACAATAGTAGATATACATCATCGTCGTCTTCTGGCACTATGACGCGGGGTCTTGCGGCTGGTACGCCAGCTCTTCGTTTCAGGATCGCCGGGGCCGACTGTCCGCGAGATGGTGCTTCGAAGCGGCGTACTTCGCGAGGCTGTTGTCCACAAATAAGATAATCCTTACTAATGTTATATATACGATAGTAACTCTGTCTGTCTGTCGATGTCGCGCCAAAATTAGTGAACCCAGCTTATCTGCACTCACTTCTTATCGTTCGGTGAAGTTGTAAAGGTCAGCTACGACCAATATCATTGGGCTCCCTAAAATATAGCCGAGCGCAGTGATGGCTGTCTCATCCGTCATACTCGTGAACCAGTGCTGCTTGTAGGGACTGGTCTGCTCTTATCACTACGACTGATTTAATCTTATTGTATATTTATATTTGACCCAAAAATGAGTGCTGGTTGGTAGTTTGTATTCACACGTTTCGACTTGTAAAATGTAAACTTACAAGGATTATTTAAAAGAGCAACACACAAGTTTCTAGCTCGTTCTTCTTGTGATGAGACAGCTATCCTAGCGGTAGATTAAAAAAAAATGTTATGACTATTCAAAAGTGCTTAAATTAAGTTGATTTGAATGAATGATCTTCTATTGTAATAGCACTTGTAAATAAATAGCGTAAATTGTATCTACCTCATTGGCGTCGCCGCCGTCGTCCATGCTGTTGTCGCTGAATAGTGAGAACAGTATGCTGTCCACTTGCTGGTTGATGGCGCCTGGATCACCATCCGCTGGTTTCCGAGTCATCACGGGTTTCGTAATATTCTGAATATAATTTTATTGAATTTTAACTATACATCTATACTACATACCTATAAATAATTGGAGTGCCTGATTGTAACATTGAAATAACAGTTTTGTACTATATGCATATGAATATAAATACGGTACGTACACCAAAAAAACATTTTCTACAATTTTTGTCTGTCTGTCTGTTTGTTCCTGCTAATCTCTGAAATGGCTGGACCGATTTTGACGAGACTTTTATTGGCAGGTAGCTGATGTAATAAGGAGTCAACTAGACTAGCTTTATATTAGAAAAAACATTTCAGTTTAGAAAAATAAAGTTAAATTCCAAGCGGACGAAGTCGCGTGTACAGCTAGTATTAAATAAATTGTACAATATATAATTAAGTATGACGGAATGGGTGGTCTAGTGTTTTAGCAGACCGTTTTAATTCTGATGGTCGCCGGTTCGATTCTTCACACGGTATTGCACCGTGGATATACAACCCTAAATTTTTACTCTTCTACCACCAACCCTTATTTTTTAATAGCGATTTTAATTGATATAGGTAAACGTTTGCGGGCTCAGCTAATCTTATATATAAAATTCTCGTGTCACAGTTTTCGTTCCCATACTCCTCCGAAACGGCTTGACCGATTCTCATGAAATTTTGTGAGCGTATTGAGTAGGTCTGAGAATCGGCCAACATCTATTTTTCATCCCCCTAAATGAGAGATCACAATTTAATTTTGAAACGTATAAAAAGCTTCGCAACATCTGCAACAGAATGTGTAGGGATGCTAAACGCCAATACATTCATTCAACTATACAAAACCTTAATCAGTCTCAAATTTGGAAATTTCTTCAATCACTAGGAGTGGGCAAGTCTACTGATTCTTTTAAAAGTAACTTGGACCTCAATGCTTTAAATAAGCACTTCTCCTCCTCACCTGTCACTCTTAGCAATCTCACTAAAGCTAATTCTATTTCAACTCTTTCAAGTCTTGCTCCACTCGATTGCCCTTCATTTACTTTCAGTGCAATACCAGTAGATGCTGTTAAGAAAATCCTTCTATCTTTTTCCTCTAAAGCCATCGGTAGTGACAGCCTTGATATGATCCTTCCTGTGTTGGATGACATTTTGCCAGTGCTTACTCACATAATTAACTTTTCACTCAGCAACAATGTCTTTCCATCACAATGGAAAAAGGCTTATGTCATACCAGTTCCCAAAACAAGTAATCCTACTTGTCTCTCCCAATTTCGTCCCATTTCTATTCTTCCTTTACTCTCCAAAGCTCTTGAATCCGTTGTCCATAATCAACTTTATAAATATCTCTCCACCAATAACCTGTTATGTCCTTTCCAGTCAGGCTTCCGTCCCTTCCACAGCACTACTGGGGCGCTTCTTAATATTACAGAGCATATACGGCAGGCTATGGATGACACCAAATTGACTGCCATTATTTTATTGGACTTCAGCAGTGCATTCAACTCTGTTGATTTCGATATTCTCCTTGGTGCCCTCCATGCCGTTAACATTTCAAATTTTGTTATAGAATGATTCTCTTCTTTTCTTTTCGGTCGCCAGCAGTGTGTTAGAACCAGTGATGGTTCCTCAGACTGGACTTCTCTAACTGCTAGTGTACCTCAAGGCGGTGTACTCTCTCCTTTACTATTTTCAGTGTTTATTAACAATATTTCTCGAGTCATTACTTCTCCTTCCATCTGTATGCAGATGATCTGCAGTTATACCGTCACTTCTCCTTATCGGAAGTGACTCAAACAGTAGAAGCTTTAAACTGTGATCTCTTGAGTATTCAATCGTGGGCTAGATCTTTCGGTCTCATTATTAATCCGTCCAAATCCCAAGCCATGATTGTTGGTAGTAGCAGACTAAGGTGCAAGTTAGATTGGTCTTTGGTACCCCCAATAATATACAACAACATTGAGATAGCGTACACTGACAAGGTTAAAAATTTAGGACTTATTTTGGATTGTACTATGTCATGGATTTCCCATGTCAACGAAATTAGTAGAAGAATACACTTTTCATATCACTCTCTCAAACGTCTCCAATATTTTCTTCCCTTCAGCACCAAAATTATGCTCGCGCAATCCATTTTACTTCCCATTCTTGACTATGCCGACGTTTGCTTCTTAGATATGACTGAGGAGCTTTTAAATAAACTAGAGCGCTTACAAAATTTAGCTATAAGATTTATCTTCAGTTTACGCAAATATGACCACGTTTCCGATTTCCGCGCTCGTTTAAAATGGCTCCCAATCCGTATTCGGCATAATGTGCATATCCTATCCATGCTCTATAATATTCTTAATAATCCTAATGCTCCCGCCTACCTTCGTTCCCGCTTTCAATTGTTACCCCCCTCTTCCCGTCCCAAACGCCTTTGCCAAAACCACTCGAGGATCCTTAAACTTCCTAACAGTAGAACTCAGTTTATGGGTAACTCCTTTTCGTTTCGTGCTGCTCAGCTATGGAATAATCTCCCTTTGGAGATTCAAAAAAGTCCATCTAGTGGTTCTTTTAAGAAAAAGTTAAAATCATATTACCTTTCTACTGCTATGTGATTAGTGTCATCATTGTATATATATCTTTGTAGTATTTATTGTTTGATTTAGTATATATTTATGGTTATCATATATTTATTATAAATGTAATTTTTATTGTTTAGGTATTCAAGTACATATTATATATTAATATATATATTTTTTTTATCTTTATGTATATTGTATTAGTATCTGTATTTTGGACATTATATTTTTATGTTTAGTTTTAATTATTTTGACATTTTCATAAAAAATATAATTTGCACATTTTAACCCACTCAACACTTCTTATGCCACGCTCTATTGGGTTGACTGGAAGAGATCTCTGTTAGAGATAAGTCCTCCTTAGTTAACATTAGCTGTAATTAATTTACTTATAAATGTATTTAAGTGTAAAGAATATTTAAATGTTAGGGGTAGTCCACCCCTAATTTTTTTTATTTTATTTTAAGGCAAAACAACGTTTGCCGGGACAGCTAGTTATTTATAAGTAGGTATGTCATTTATGTACAGGCAGTCCTCGACTTACTGGGGTGTTTACTTTGCTTATTTTGGATGGCACAGGGGCCTACCCCCTCATCTAATCTAATCTAATGGAATCCTATATCCAAAATATATAGGATTCCAGATAATGATTAAATCATCGGCAATTATTTACTTTTTTACACGAATGGCAACCCTCACATTATCTTTGCTAATAAAAAAAAACAGTAATTTAAAAATGTTTATGGGGGGAGGGGGGTTAGAGCTTTGCTCACTTTTGCTTACAAGGGGGATGGGGGTAAATAATTGCAATAAATTTGTTACGTAATACTTGAATGGCCATACCTTCGTGTTAAATTCTTAGTGAATTTGTCACGATGGGCTAACTGATCTGACCTTATGCTCGTCTTATCGTCCTTCACTGGTGCCCTGACAGCGTAAACCGTTAGCGCAGGTGGGTGCACCATTCCGTTATCATCCGTAAAAAAAAAACTAGAAAAGTACGTTACCTTGATTGATTTCAATTTTGAAAGTCTGTACGTTACATATAGAGAGATTTAAATGGATTGGTGTGCGCTCCAATCACAACGCTCCTTCGTTGCTGCTTGCTATACGCAACGATAACTAATAACAAGAACTAAACCCATTTTGAAAATTCGTTTAGTGCTCAATAGCCCATTTATCGAGGAAGGCTATTGGCTATATAATATCAAGCCACGACCGATAGGAGTCCAGCTGCATTAAGAATGTTGTGCAGACAAAATTGCTTGGGTCACTATAACAACGGAGGTGCAATGAAAAATGTAGCTAGAACTGGTAAATGTGATGGAAACGAAGTTAAATGTAAATAAAAATAAAGATACATTTATTTGAAAAGAATACAAGCTGAGTTTCTTGTCAGTTCTTCTGTACGAGCAACCACACATTACTGTGCAATAAAATTGCTGACACATGCAATTTCACCTCATTACATTCCTGCACCATTCCATTATTATCATTAAAAAGGCGGTTCTCGTGCACATGCCATGTGCACGAGAACCGCCTGAATTCCTATATTCCATTTTGTAATTGACAATCTGTTGATTTTACTTACCTTCGTCGTGTGTTTGCCAAGGGGCTGCGAAGCGAAAGGCCTGGCGTTGTCGTCGTGTTCGGGCGCCTCGCGGGGCTTCGGCGGGGGCTGCGGCCCCGACAGCTGCTTCTGGATGTTGTCCATCGTGGTCTGCAGGCTCTGGAACTTCTCTTGCAGACGCTCCTGGAAGTCATATATAAAAACTTTTTATAGAAATACTTAAAATTCATAGCGCTGACGATATTATCTGATTGCACTACGAATGAGTGCGTAGCGGTTTCTATGTAGATTATCGCATGCCTCTTACTTGGTATTCTGTAATTATTTATATAAAAAAACATCTATTCAAAAGAGCAACACACAAGTGTCTTGCTCATTCTTCTTGTGAATGAATCTGCGTGAAAATAAAAATATATGACAATCTATACATATAAATAAAATTGGAGTGTTTGTTTGTAATATCCAAATAACCGTTTTTTATTTTGCATATGAATATAAGTATTTATATTCATATGCAACGGTAATGTATGGTACATACACCAAAATTACATATTTTACAATTTTTGTCTGTCTGTCTGTTTGTTTTGGCTAATCTCTGACAAAGCTGGACCGATTTTGACGGGACTTTTTTTGGCAGGTTAAATTCCACGCGGACGAAGTCACGTGTACAGCTAGTATATACATTAAAATACACAGAAAATGCCTAGACTAGATTACAAAGAATTGTACTCTTGAATACAAATTTACATCGTGCGAGGAATCAAACTCGCCTCCATTGGAAGGCGTTGTAACAACAACTAAAATTAAATAATAATAATCTCAGGACAATTCACACAGCGCCATCTAGAGCCAAGTTAAGCTATCTAAAGCTTGTGTTACGGGTACTAGATAACTGATACAAATACAAAGATATTTTTTTGTTTCGTAAATACATACATAATATACATAGAAAACACCCAGAACGATACAAACAATCATACTCATGAATACAAATGCTTGTGCCGTGCGAGGAATCGAACCCGCGACCATCAGTCGTAAAGCGGTGTACTAGACCGGTAGACCACCGAGGTCGTCATGAAATGTAAATGAACTTTTGTATTACCTTTTCGGCTCGTATCTCCAGAATAATGGACATCTGTTTTGATGACTCATCGTCTTTTTCCTGCAAGTGAAGTCATTGTAATTGTTGAGGTGTATGTAAAATTGTTTTCTCTATGTACTTTGTTAGAAAATAGAGAATGTTTTTAAGCTTCCATCGCGGGCTTTGAACGCGACGACCGAATAGAACATAAACTCTAGCCGCAATAGAACGTAATATTTTTTGTATAATATTTTTTTCCCTACCGTCGTTCTAGAAAGTAGAAGAAGAAAAATGTTGGGGCACTTGATACGGCACGACGAATCTTTGAAACTAATTATTGAGGGAAAGATAGAAGGAAAGAGGGGAGGTCCGACCAAGGCACAGCTATATCAAGTAAATTAAAGAGAGAATTGGAGTCGTGACGTATCAACATTTAAAGAGTACGATGTAAGATTGTGGAAAGACACAAGAGCTACACAGACAAGAGCGTTGCTCTTAAGTTTACGAATGTATAAAACTTCGTTATTCGTATTCAAAGTTTATTTCGCTTAATACACTGACTAATAAATATTAGGTTGTTCGGAAAGTAATTTCGTTTTTTCCTAACTTAGGATTTAATAATACAATAAAAATTTTAATTTATTACTAGTATTTACATAACCTAATTGTACAACTAAGAACCTAAAATTAAAAAGCTTAAAAAAATATATATAATCATCATATTATATAACTACTACTACTAAAATATATTATTAAAAGGGGTCCCTTTAGGCAACGTTCCGAAGATACTGGCAGCGTTCCCTCTTTGAATAGCTAGACTAATTCTTTGTCCAAGGTAGCTGCCAGCTCTTCGGTCTTCTGTGATGTCGACTAACCTTTTAGTTATTTCTTTGAAAAGTCTTATAGCGATTTAATTATATTTTTTGCTCTCAACTTCGCACTTAAGCCGTACAATTTTTATATGCTTTGAGAGCTCATATAGCAAGGCTTGTGTGAAAAATTACAATTAATTCTACGCAGTAGTTTTTGGTTACCCTTTTAAATATGGAGAGAAATAAGCAGCATTTTCGACATATCTTACTGTTTTACAACAGCAAGGGCAAAAATGCTGTTCAAGCCAGAAAGAAATTGACCGATGTGTTAATAGTACGCCAGTGCAGAACTGGTTTGCTAAATTTCGATCCGGAAATTTTGATGTCGAAGATGCACCACCCTCGGGAAGACCGGTTGAAGCTGATAAAGGCACTGGTTAATGCGAACCGGCGAATAACAACACTTATAACATCCCAGGCCTTTCAAGTGGTCACCTAATATAATTTCTTACCCTGAGCAGACCTTCAAGCCGCTCAACCTGCTGTCCATATTTCCTCTCCTTTTCTCTCCCGCTTTCCTTCTCCAACTCCATCTCTTTCCGCAGTTTATGGAGTGCCGTCTCCAGTTTGGCGCTGGTGTCCACTGCGGTGGTCACTTCGCACATCAGCTGCGCGATGGTACCAGCTTTGCTGTCCAGCTCCTTATCTTTGCTTTGCATTGAAGTTGTTAATTCTGCGATTCTAGCATCGCTTGCGTCTCTAGGTGAATAAATTTAGTTACAGCATATTGATTCCAATAAGATATATAAGAAGAATTAATAAGAAGTAACAGTCAATCATATAACACACTTTCGGACCACATAAACGTTTATGTGTATAATAATATTTAGAGACAAACACTGTGACGAATTTCGTGACGTAACTGATGATCGTGATGCTTTACATCATCCCAAAACAGTACACACGATCCCAAAATGCTTTATATCATCCCAAAATGATATATATATGTATATTAACTCAAACGTTATAAATCAACACCAAACGCGATACATCATCCCAAAACGCTATACATCATCCCAAAATTCTATACATCATTGTCATCATTTCAAAACGCTATACAACATCATTAAATACTATAGATCATCCCAAAACGCTAAACATTGGCTTAAACCGTTATAAAACATAAAACTATATGTTTTGGGTTAATGTATAACGGTTTAATACTATACATACGTCCTAAAACGCTTATACATCATCCCAAAACGCTATACATCATCGCAAATCGCTATACATTATCCCAAAACGCTTTACATCATCCCAAAACGCTTTACATCATCCCAAAACGCTTTACATCATCCCAAAATGCTATACATAGTCTCAAAACACTACATATAATCCCAAAACGCTATACATCATCCCAAAACGCTATACATCATCCCAAAACGCTTTACATCATCCCAAAACGCTTTACATCATCCCAAAATGCTACACATAATCTCAAAACACTACACATAATCCCAAAACGATATACATCATCCCAAAACACTATACTTGTGAGTTTTAAGTGCGTTCTCTGTTTCTCCCAGATTGGTGGTTAACATTTGGTTGGCTGCTGTTAGTTCTGCCACCAGCGCCTCCTCTGCGTTGATCTTTACAGTCATCGTCTCCAGTTTCGATATAATCGCTGCCTTCTCCGTTTCCAAATTGTTTACTTGAAGTTGCAAGTTATTTATCTCGCTTTCTTTCATAAGTATCACCTGGGAATGTTTTTTGTTTTATAAAATCTAGCAGTCATAGTACTGAAGATTGGTAAGTTCTAATTGTTAGTTCCCTGACTTACTCTCTAGAGATCGTGAGTTCAAATTTTGCTGACAATAAAGAAACTGTGTTTCATATTACATTACTGACTGACTTTGGAAACAAATCGTGAGGGGGCAGAGTCCAAAGTTACGTGGCAAAGAGGGAAACTCCGAGGAGTTCCCGGGACTTGAGACCCAGGTGTAGGTTTGAGGGGGTTTATTTCTTTCTACACATCCACAAATTTTCTCCGATTGGTGGATTGCATTTCGGTTGCCAGTTGACATTTTCCATCCGGTGGATCATTGCTTTGAATAGAATAGAATGAAATAACATTTGTTATATTTGGTTATGAATAAATATCTATGTTGCATTGGTTACAATTTAGGTAATATTAAACAAATAACAGGTATATCTTACAGCATATTTTTCATCGTTCTCTTTCTCTGAATGATTAACTTTATCTTGCAATTTCATAATTTCTTCTTTATTGTTGTCATTTGTAATTCTTGCGTCCTAGAAGTACAAGTAGTGTGGATAATTATGGTTAATAAATTTAATAATTAGCGAAATAGACTTTATTAATAGTCGACTGCATGTGTACCTTAGTCTCACCTAGTTCATCCGCCAAACAGCTTGTTTTGTTAGCTATGTTTGGCTGTAGGGATTGAATTGGATTGAATGTAATCAATGAAATTTGACGTAAATCTAATATATACAATTCTAGTGCCGCAGTGTTTGTAACAAAAGAAAATTTCATAAGAACCGCATTCTTTTTCGGTTCTATAGATTTGAGAATAACTATTTTTCATACCCCAAGTAAAAAAAGGTCTACTTCAAAAAATATTGATTTCATTGGACAAATTATTTTTGTACTATCAATTTTTATTTTTCTTATTAATCTCGTTATGAAGTCGCGGGTAAATATTTGTCTCTTATATCTACCTCAAGTTGGACTTGCAATTGTTCAATATGAAGCGTAGAGGCAGCGTGGCGCTCTTCAGCCGCTGCTACCTGTTCTTGCAGGAAGTCGTTCTGCTTGCGAACACTGTCGGTAAATGCTTCCTGGTTGCTTAATGCTCCTTTGAGAGCCTCTATCTCTTCTAATGATTGCTTTAATCTAAATGGAAGAAAGTTTTACTTAGGCAGACAAATAGACATAGACTTTGAACGTACTTAACGTTCAAAGTCTATGATGGTAATATTTTAAAATGTAATATTTTAAGTGTATCTTTCTATTTAAACAAAATGGATAATTATCTAAATGGAAGAAAAGTTTTCTTATTTTTATTTTATTTATTTGATTTGTTGGACACACCAGACTATTCCTATGAACTTACAATTGTTATCACTTGCAAGAAGTTCAGGTATATAGTGTTGACTTAACAACTGGTAGCCACTGCATGCGTAAATGTTTACAGAAGCTTTTTTTATTTATTTATATTATTGCGTTTAATTCTACTATCAGACTAACACTACCACTGGCATTTGTGAGACCAGAAATATTCAGTACAGAAACTATAGACTATGTGTACACGTCCAACGGTCTAGATGAGAGGAGCCTCTCATCTGGGCCGTTGGACGAGTAAAATGGAGTTGCTGGAAATGGAGTACAACTTACAATATGAAAACCTGATCACAGCTATTGGGAGCTTTATGATCTTCTCTATTGATGATCAAATTCCGACCGTCATTGAGTCTACACCCTTTTTGCGATTTTGCGAAACTTCGCCTGGAGTGGACGAGGCTCCATCAGGCCATGATAACAGCTCGGATACAGCTTGGAAGAATTAAAATGGTACGTATAATGTACTCACTGTTCTTCTTTCTTCATGTAAGCATTCTTCACCTCATTACTCTGAGTTGTGAACTCGTTTACCAACTGCTTCATGTCCTTCTGGCTTTTGATCAAAGCTACGTCTTTCTGTGATATCAAGTATCAATAGATTTATATGTATATGTATATATTTTCTATAGATACATATGATGTATGACATATATATGTGTGACAAATATTATGAAAAAAATTACTATCTACTGGCCGGTAACTTAATGGAATTTGCCTGTCAATATTTCATTGGTGTGACTGCAACAGTGGTAGATAACACATTGGAATTAAAATTTATATTTATACGGAACCCAATATTAAGTAAAAATGTCAGGAGTAATGTGAAGAGGCGTTTTATTCCAGTAAATTTGTGTTATTATTAGGCATTATGATGTCGTTAATCGGACAGTTGATTGGGGCTCTAGTGATGTGTAAAGTAACATAATTCTAAATTAGTTTTGGATGTAGTCATTACATGCATTTTAAGTGTAGTTATACTTCAAAAAACCATCAGAGGTGGTTTGTAACCATGGGCAGGCCCCATGTGTCGTATTGATATACCCTTTCCGTTACACCCTGTATAAGTATAATAAATAGGTACATATATGTATATATTTTTACAAACAATCATCATTACATAGTATAAAACAAAGTCGCTGTCGCTCTCTGACCATTTGTACGACGACTTTGTCTGTGTGGAATTTAACTTTATTTTTCTAAAGTAAAAATAGCCTAAGTTACTCCTTATTACATCAGCTACTTGCCAAAATAAGTCCCGTCAAAATCGGTCCAGCCATTTCAGAGATTAGCCGGAACAAACAGACAGACTGACAAAAATTGTAATTAATGCTATTTTAGTGTATGTACCGTATTTATATTCATATGCATGTAGTAAAAAACAGTTGTATCAATATTACAAACAGACACTACAATTTTATTTATATGTATAGATTATGCTTATTTTCTATTCTGAATACATTTGTATGTATGCGTGCGGGTGTGTATATGTGCATGAGTGTGTGTTCAATATTAAAATAGTAGTAATATATATATTTTTTTTCATATTACGTTATCATGTAATCATAACCTTGATGATGTGATCACTGATGCGTTGTTTCCTGTTTCCGGACTAATGTCATGTCCCCGTACCCAGTGCCGGATTAGTAACAAGTTTTTTTTCAGACTACTCTAATGCTGTTGGCCGCAGCTGGCCTTTACAGCTTCAGCGGACGATAGGGGGCGAGTGCAGATGGCACTCCAAACCCAAGGAAGGATTTTGTAGCGGCTGAAGGCCAGCTCAACCCAACTTTATTTTGTAAATACATACATAATATACTCAGACCGATACAAACAATGAATACAAATGTTTGTACCGTGCGAGGAATCGAACACACGATCATCGGACGTAAAGCGGTGTGCTAAACCACTAGACCACCGAGGTAAAAAGTTCACTTCATTCATTGGGTCATTGTGCTCCCTAAAATATAGTCGAGCGCAATGATGGCTGTCTCATCCGTCATACTCGTGAACGAGTGCTGCTTGTAGGGACTGGTCTGCTCTTATCACTACAACTGATTTAATCTTATTGTGTACTTATATTTGACCCTAATAAATTAGTGATGGTTGGTAGTTTGTATTCACATTTCGACTTGTAAAATGTGAACTTACAAGGATTATTTAAAAGAGCAACACACAAGTTTCTTGCTCGTTCTTCTTGTGATGAGACAGCTTTCCGAATGAGCGGTAGATTAAAAAAAATTGTTATGGCTGTTCAAAAGTGCTTAAATTAAGTTTATTTGAATAGATTATTTTCTATTCTTCAAAAAGTCGACTTACCATGTTTACTTCTTGCGTGACATGTTCCAACTGGTTGCGTATTTCGCCAACAGCTGTGGACAGGTCGTCTTTCTGCGCCTGCACTGTTGCCAGTTGAACTTTGGTGTCGGTCAGTTCTCTATCGGCCTTCTGTTTTGACTCGTTCAAGTATTGTATCATTTGCGTTTGGTGCTCACTTGATAATTTTGCTATAATATTTACAAATCCATTTCTAAATACCTGCATGTGCTGACGGTTTCAATCGCGTGAAATATATAGCCTACTAACTGTGCCCGCGGTTTACCCGCGTGAAATATGTAGTCTATATGTCGTTCTGATAGATAAGCTATATTACTGTAAAGTTTCATCAAAATCCATTCAGTAGTTTTTGAGTTAAAGTTTAACAAACGTCTAACCCTACTCATAAAATTTCGTGTTTAGAATATTAATAAATGTGTTATTCTGATGTATCATGTGTTAACTATCGTGTGACGCACCATTAATTAAAAATGGTAAAGTCAATAATCATGTAACCTGAAACGGAACGTCAGAGGCCAGAGCCAAAGTAATCTATGTGACATTGACAAGTGGATGACGGACGATTGAACGGAGGCAGCGGGAGTTTTGGAGCGAAAGTGTTGATATTATTATAAAAACAAATAAGAGATAGATAATTGTGAATATTGTAGGCATTGAGGTGTTTCTCTCCCTGACTAACCGGCATTACGCCTAAGTCGTCAGGATACTAGTGATTTTAAAAGTTCAGAAGCGGTACCAATCCCGCCTACAAATTCGACTGTAAGGTAATTCTGACTAGAAGTTGTGGTAAGTGAATTTACGTTAATAACACGCATACCATTAAACGCAGTTTCTCACTTGTTTTATTGAACTTTTGGATGAATTGCTTTCTACATATTAAATAGATTTAGTATGTACGATAACTTGCGAGAGTAATGACATGACATGTAGCACGATATTGAGGTATACAATATACCTAAGAAAGAAGTATTATGAATACATTAAGTATAGAACAACATGGCTATCTAATTAGTTTAAAATACAGAGTAACTATTGTTATGTTATTAATGCCTATGATAGAGTATGATAGGATATCAACAGATTAGAAACAGTTACATTAATTATGTTGACATACAGGTTGAACATGAGAACACATACCATGTTATACATATAAACAGTGTAATGGTATTGCTGAGTTTGTTGCTAATTCACAGTAAATTAGTCAAACTTACTGTTCAGTTTTGTGTGTTTGTTCTACGTTAATTGAATTGAAGAATTGTTATTATTTATTTACATCGTTACACATATATGTTTGATGATCCCATTTCAGATAAATGACAATCACAGGCATTGTCCAGGTATATGTCTTGATGGTGGTTATATTCCCAAATTGAGACACTGTCATATGTATATATATTATATTGGTTGATACTTTGATATGTGTTTTTTAATGAATTAATAAAGCATATTAATATAGATAGACACAGTATATTGTTGACATAAACTGATACCAGCAACATAACATGTTATATTTCATAATATTAGATATTAAAGACATTTTAGATGCTATCTCATGATTAGCTGTGAAGCTCTCAGTGAAAATAGTACTTAACTCTGATAGTACAATTATTATATTTATTTCTTGCTGTGTTTTGAATTTTATATATATAGCAATGGCTAACAATTGGTAGTAAACTCCAATGGTAAAAAACCGAATAACTGTAAACTATTATTATTAATAGTTCCTTATTTAATCATTATTTAGTATAAAATCCAATTGAGATCTATTAGGATCCTCAAGGTTATCATAATCATATGATATTGATTATTAATGTGTTGAAAAAGCACCTAGAAATGATATCCAATTCCTCAAAGGTGTCATATTATGCTGGAATTATATATTATATGTATGCTCAGATTGAATGTATTATATGTTTGAGCAATTGGTTCACTTCTTTGATGCTTCTCTTGAAATTCATTAGAATGGCCCTTAGCAGCCATTGTTGATCAATAAAGGTACTTAAAGGTCCTGTGCAGGTACCTGTAGCTATGTACATTTGTCATTTGAGACAATGTTTAGTAAGTGAGTAGTTGGAATTTATAAGCACCACATTAATATGTGACATGTTAGAAAGTGATAGATTACAGGTAAGACTATTCTTACATGGTTCAGTTTTATAATTTATGAAGTTGTCTTTTAACCTAAAGAAAAGCTTTTGGTAACTCCAGAAATGAATGTTATTGGCTCTTGATTGTATTATTGATTGTACAAGAAACCTGTTGAATTTTCTAAACAATACTTGAGCAACAAGCTTGTCTTTAAATTTACTATTAGTGTTATGAATATGAATAAAAGTTTTTGGAAATAAGTTAATATTTGTGTACATACAGAATGTTTGGATATATATATTGAGTCGCAACAGTGAGAGTATTTGCCTTTTGATGAGTTATAACTCTCCATACAGTAAATTGCACAAAATGTCATGATTTTATAATATGAATATGTACAACATACGACAATTGTTATCACAATAATGAAAATAGACTATTGTAATATATTGCAATGTATTGCTATATTGTCCAATCTTGTGTACTGCATAAGCTAATGAACTGAAGATTTGCTGCAAGGATCTGAGCTTAAGTTATCCATTGAGTTTTATTATTTAGTGTCATTTGTAGAATGACAGTACTAAGAAACTATAAAGTGGACAGATTCATTGTTAAATCTGTATTGGAATTGAAATGTGAACCAAGGAGGAAATCATTGTTTAAATTCAAATTGTATTATATATTTGTGAAGTACAGATAATAAAAAAAAAAACAAGTAGAATATATTATTGAATATTAATATAAATAAATTTATATCAGAAGATAATAACTGATTTAAAGCATTCATGAGTTAATAATGAACTCATCTTGAAGTTAGCACATGGATTGTGTCAAACAGTGCGGTCTAGAATTGTGAAATTTGGATAATAAACTTTATAATTCAGATATTATGGCAGGAAAATGGAAATAAATGAGTGCATAGCACTCTTTGTTGTATATAGGTATGGACAGATGGGAGAGAATTAAGTGAATACATGTAAACTGTGATATGGTGAAATAGAGGAGAAAGGAAAAATTGGATACTATTTTTAAATGGTTTATGTAACTTACCTTCTATGTATTTGTAGACTACAGGATTATAAAATATTTTATGATTTGACTAATGAAGTTTCTGTATATTAATTAGTTATTATTAAATAGTCTCTGTGGGAGGCAATGTTAAGATATTCAAAGTACATAAGCTTTAAAATTATTATAGAGGAAAATTATGAGACACAGACAGACAAGATTGTTAGGAAAGTAAAGAGATATGGATATTCTAGAAAACTTTGCTGATGACCTTGGTAATGTGGTTATTAATAGGCTGCATAATTGTCCATGCATGGAAATTCGTTCCCATTCTATACAACCGTTATATATTTATGAGAATTCCTGATTGTTGGTGTTTTATGCTATGCCTTTATAAGCATGTGGTTTGTTTTATTTAATATAACTTTGTTACCAAAGAGGATGAGACTGAAGTTAGTCGGTTTTATGAAGATAGCACTTCTATACTGTGGCAAGCTTCCAATTATCTTCTGTGAATCTACTGTACTGTAGAGGACAGTGCATGGTGATTTCGGTATAGCTATTACAGGAATATATAAGTAAAAAAAAAAAAAAGAATAGGAAAAATCCTCAATATCTTGTGAACACAAGTTAATCACTGCAAATGTAACTTAGATTGAAAGTGAGATGTTGGTATCCGTTGGGATGAACAGTGATTCACAAGCACAGTATCAGTATAATTTATAGAAGAAAAAAAATATATAAATAGTAATAATTCAAAAGAAAATTGTATCATATGTACAGGTATAAATACATATAGTAATGCCTATTTATCATTTTAATAGTATTGTGATTTATTGGATTGTAGGACGCCATATAATGAAATGAAAAATTTATAAGCCATATATATATATATATATATATATATATATATATATATATATATAAATTTTATATGGTTTACTGATGGATAATAAACTACTTTATGAATAGCATATATGTAGAATGAAAAATAAATACTGCATGGTCTAAGTTGTAAGTTTTACATGTTATAGAGAATTATTTGTTGAGAAAATGTTTGCGAGCTGAGCCATTGTTCTTTAATTATAATGGTATTATAGTGAATACAAATTTAAGAAGCACAGGTAGTTAAAAGAAAAACAAAAACAAAAGGACAATTGATTGTTGTTAAATGTATGAGCATTAAAGTTTTGAAAAGTGTACATGGGTATACTAGATTTAAGTTGAAAGAATCCTATTGAACCTATAACTGTTTTAAGAGACCTTTATATCCAATGCAAATAAAATGAGAGACAATATAAGTTGTGGAAGTAAGGCTATATCTGTCAATTTAATCCCAGGAATATATAAGAAAAGTTACTAGAGGATATAAATGAAAGTTAAGATATAAGAAAGTTAAATATTGTTAACAATAGATTACAGTTTACAGTTATAAATTACTGTTGTAGATGGTTTTGCCAATTTTGTTAATTTCTAGTTAACCTTTGTTAAATCTTGAGATATTGTATCTATTAAGATTTTAATTGGTTGAAAAAAAAGAGTATAATCGAAGCGTATAATGCTAAATTAACGAGCATGTAAGAATTGTTGGTATACATGTTGACTCAATTGACTGGAATATGAGATTGGATGTGTTGTATTTAGACCATTGTCACTTTTGACATAACTGTTGAGTTGAAGTAAAATAAAAGTGTTAACTAAGGCTTTTAATAGTAAACTCATCAACATATAAGAATTGATGTTGTCACTTGCATAGCATACGAGAACGGATGTATTAAATAAGTGAGGGTGTTTTAATGTTGAATTGTACAAAATTACAGGTGTAGAGATATTGGAAGTTTATAATAATAACGGTGATGTTGTTTTCAAATATTTGGTTGATATTGATCAGATAAATAAGATTGAATTAAATTTAAAGCGTTGTCTTTGACGACGACGGAAGTTAAAATTTTTATAAGTAATGATCAACGCAATCAAATGCTGGGCATTTGATTCCATAGATTAGTCTGAGCACCTATATGCACTTGTATGTGTGGCTGAACGCCCTTTGGAGAAATCGGATTGACTATTGTACTAACTAAATAGTTTAAATTGAAATTAATCCTTTCAGAATTGATTTTATGTGTCTGTTGTAATTAATGGGAAATTAGAAGAGGTGCTAATTTATAGAACCCAGACACCGTATACAGACACTTTAGAAATATTATGAATAAAGCGCTCGAGGTGTACAAGATAGTTACACTGCAAGATTGTAGTAAGGACGATCACAAGGTAAAAATGATACACCTCTATGGAAAATAGTCGGTAAATCTACGCGGTGAAGAGTAGTACATGAACGAATAGATCTGAAAGATTAAGGAATGCTAGTGATACAATGATGAGTTACAATCGATGACAAGCTGAATTATGAGCAAAATGGCTAATAGAACGGGCGGTTGATATGACAATGAAAAATGATTTGCAATACTTTGATGAAATTATGAGATTAATATAATAATCATATGACTATGAATACGATTTATGGATTTTAAGGTAAATGATGGTGATTTAGATTTGATGATATACTGATGAGATGATTGCGCTGAGATCGCGGCTGATGGTTCCGTATACGTTAGTTCACGGAGAAAATGGGGATCCGCGTGTGCTCAATGCGACGTACAACGAACGACTCGCTTTTTGTTGATGCTACTCAAGATTTGGTAGATAATAATAGGAGTAGGGTATGTGGTAGTAATATATTGCATGTTCGTTCAGAAATTGGTAGATACTAGATATATATCAACCAGATATATCATTCGAATTTGGTACATAATTAAATTGAATTAACTTATGATTAAATGTTATAAAGTCCTTTAAAGCGTTGGAGAAATAGTAAAATGGAACCAGGAAATCCAGTTCTTAAAGATATGTAATAGAATGAAAAGTAATAGTAAATTTTGATGGGAGTGCATATAACCCATAGTTGAGTTGCAATGTAGAGCACTTGAGGCTGAAGTAAAAATAGCATAGTACCATAAAGAATATGACTAGTTGGAGGCCGTAACTACTTGCGTGCGCAAGCGGTGAATGCCTCATTGAGAAAATGACCAGTTGTTAAATATTTGATGTGTTTCAGTTGGAGGCCGTAGTTCCTTGTGGCGGCAAGCAGTGGCTGAGTCTAATGAGAATCTGACCAGTTTGAGGCCGTAGCTCCTTGTGTGGGCAAGCGGTGGCTGAGTCTAATGAGAATTTGACCAGTTTGAGGCCGTAGCTCCTTGTGCGGGCAAGCGGTGGCTGAGTCTAATAAAATCCAGATCTGTTGAGACCGTAGTCATAGTGGGCAAGCGGTGGTATTTTTTTAATGTTTTGTTTTAACAGGTATTTCACTAATTAGCTAGGCAGCCGTGTTTGCAGAGATGCTGACTAGTACCTGGTGTGAAAAATTAAGTGATACAACTTAAGGCGGAAAAATATAACAAAGACTGAATTCATGATGTTGAAATGTAATGTGTAGTTGTCAGTGGCAACTTTCATATTTTAAGTATGTAAAGTATCTCAAACTAAATTTTATATGATTTTAATTTTATTATATTACCCGATGTTAACTGTTATGATAATATCGAATGAGGCCCTTCGATAACGTTGGATGGCCGAAGTGGCTACGAATACCATCGATAAAATATAAAGTGAATAGTAGGCTTACTAAACTCACGTTCGTTTGACGAAAGTTAGTAATTCGTTTTATGGAAATTGCGCAAGGTTTTACAACAAACTCCCAGAGTCTGTACTCAATTTGCCAGAAAAAGAAATCAAATGTGTCATAAAATATTTTCTTTGTAAAAAAAAAAAAAAAAGCTTATTATAAAATTGAAAAATTTATAAATGTCATCATTTATAAATCAGTGTTTTTTTTTAGAAAATATCTAACTTGAAATTCATAGCGCTGTCAATGTTGTCTGATTGAACGGAGATTAAGTGCGTAGCGGTTTTTATGTTGATTGCCGCACGCCTAATCCTTGTTGTTAATTAAATATAAGTAAATCAATATTTATTTAAAAGAGCAACACACAGGTTTCTTGTTTATTCTTCTTGTGATGAATCTGCGTTCCGAATAAGCGATAGATTCAAAAATCTTGACTACTCAAAAGTGCTTATATTAAGTTTGTTTGAATAAAGATTATTTCTATTTCACATTAATCTGGAACAGTGGGTTTTGGTTTATGTTAAACTGGTGTTGTAAAGAAAATTGAGATCAGTATCTACAATCATTTATAGTTCCCTAAATGTACAGGGTTCAAAGGGTGCAATAGATTACTTGACCAGTGAGCTGATGGTATTGTTAAGTAAATCATAACTGAAATTCAATGAATTATGTTATATTAAAATAATTCTCTGGTAAATCAAGAGTATCGTCGAAGTAAAATAGTAGTAGTAGTATTGAGGGTATTAGAACCACTTGAATAATATTGACCTGTTATTTTCTATTGGTGAGGTGAAGGCAGGCAGCGATTTTGTTCTAATTTTATGTCACGAGAATAATACTTTCTCTTTATATTTTTTTCTCTATATATGTAGGTAATTAAGTTTTACCTTTTGTAATGTGATATGTTAAATTTATCCGTTAAAATATTCATGATGAGAAATGTCAAGTTCTATTTTGGAGGTATAAAAAAAATGCAGTGTTCATAAGATCGGAAACTTACATTGTGATGGTGATATGTTACAGTCTGACTCATAGAAGTCAATCACCGCCAAATAATTGTTTGTTACTCTAAAAGGTTGTTCATGTTTTTGGGTGATTTGGATTATGTAAATTAATATATGTTATGTTATATTTTGTGCATTCTGAATGCATGCCGAAACTTAGCTCTGTTAGTATTGATTTTAGATTGTAAACCTTTGACAGTATACTAAGATAGTCAATGTTATGAAAGTAATGTGTATCTTTAGTTTATTTAGTTAAGTATTTGTTATATGATCCTGTAGACACTATATCCTTTGATAAGCATGACTACGCTCATCAGTTACCTATGTGTCTGGGCCAGACACTATTGCAGGATGGCCGACTGTTAACTATCGTGTGACGCACCATTAATTAAAAATGGTAAAGTCAATAATCATGTAACCTGAAACGGAACGTCAGAGGCCAGAGCCAAAGTAATCTATGTGACATTGACAAGTGGATGACGGACGATTGAACGGAGGCAGCGGGAGTTTTGGAGCGAAAGTGTTGATATTATTATAAAAACAAATAAGAGATAGATAATTGTGAATATTGTAGGCATTGAGGTGTTTCTCTCCTGACTAACCGGCATTACGCCTAAGTCGTCAGGATACTAGTGATTTTAAAACATGCATAGCATAAATGCATGCATAAATTATGCAACTGATTTTAATGCAGTTTTTAGCAATAGATGGATTCAAGTGGAAAGTTTATATGTGTAATAAGGGGTCAAAAGGGACGTGACTTGTGAAAGTATAAAATGACAAAAATGTTTATTTTTAAATACATACTGTGTTTAAAAATCTAAATATATATAGCTCAAAGGTTGTTGACTGACTGACATAGATCTATCAATGCACAGCCTAAACCACTGGCCGGATCAGGCTGAAATTTGGCATACAGGTAGATGTTATGACGTAGGCATCCGCTAAGAAAGAATTTTGATTAATTCTACCACCAAGGGGATAAAATAGGGGATGATAGTTTCTAAGAAACTTTGTCAATTTTAAACCGATCGGGCTTAGACTTTGCATGCATATAGTATATACTATGACGTAGGCATCCCCTAAGATAAATTCCACTCCTAAGGGGATAAAATAGAGGTTGAAAGTTTGTATAAATCTTCTTAGATTTTCGACTGATTGAACTGAAATTAAAGATTGGAGCTACTTTGACGAAGACGTTCGCTTAAATAGGATTTTGAAATTCAATTCAACCCCTATGGGGATATAGGGATGATGCAGGATGTACATGTATTAGTTTGAATCTATCAGTACCTAATGCAACGAATAAATTAAGACGACTAAAATAGTTCTTTAGGCTACTTTTATTTTAGAAAAATAAAGTTAAAATCCACGCGGACGAAGTCGCGAGTACAGCTAGTATAAAATATAAAAATACGTCAAAGAGAACGCTGCAATCATCAAGTTACCTGTTACATATGAATTTTAATAAATTTCTTACCTTTCTCCACTATGCTCTCGATTTTTTGTCTGTTCTTCTCGTCCAGTTGCGTATGCTGCAACTTCAGTTCTCTAACGACCTGCCCAGACCTCTGGTACGCATCGTACAGACTCGCCTGGTCCGCCTTGCACCTGGCCAACGTGTCTTTGAGCCTCTCCGTGTAATTTTCCAGCACATCACATATCTCCCTTGTGCTGCTTAATCTGAACAATTGGGAGGAATTGTAATTGACGAAGTTCTATTTATTTTTTTATGGATGAGTAGCTGTGCCTGCACCACATGCTAATTGTAGCGGAATTAAACAAAACAATGTAAATCTATTAAATAGTGAATAGAGTTCCACAAAATAACACCTAATTCGATTAAATAAAAGTAAATTTATCACGATGGGCTAACTGACCTGACCTCATGCTCATATTATCCTCCACTGGTGCCCCGCCAGCGTAAACCGTTAGCGCAGGCGGGTGCACCATTCCATTATCATCCACAAAAAAAGCCCGTTGCCATCAGCTGGGTTAATACGACGGCCACAGTGGTCTAGGCGGTTGAGCACCGCTTATCACTTCCTATGGTCGCGAATTCGATTCCTCGCACGGTACATACATTTGTATTGCTGGGTACGATTGTTTGTATTCGCGGTTCAGTGTCATAGTCATAGTCATAGAGGGGGGGAAGGGGATTGCTACTGATGTGGATTAATGATCCCATTGCTATCAATGTACCATGTCAGGTCGTGGAGGTCCCACGCGGCCACAATGGTCTAACTAACTTGAATTCATGCTCATATTATCCTCCACTGGTGCCCCGCCAGCGTAAACCGTTAGCGCAGGCGGGTGCACCATTCCATTATCATCCACAAAAAAAAACCCCTTACTGGGGAAGGAGATTGCTACTGATGTGGATTAATGATCCCATTGCTATCAATGTACCATGTCAGGTTGACCTCCACGCGGCCACAATGGGCTAACTAACTTGAATTCATGCTCATATTATCTTCCACGGGTGCCCCGCGTGTGGTGGTGAGCGTAAACCGTTAGCGTAGGCGGGTGCACCATTCCATTATCATGCACTTTAAAAACCCCTTCCGGGTTGATCAATATGAGCATTAAGTGACTACGTATTATTTGTTGACGAGGCCGGCAAAAAAGAACTACTTATTAAGCGTGTCAGGTCTCAGCCGGAGTTCATCCTGGTACTGTCCGGAGATGGCCTCGTGCTGCATCTGAACTTCCACCATGTTCTGCTGCAATCTCTCATGGTTACTCTCCACTTGGTGCAGCTTCTCCTTCAGATCCCAGTACGCGGTGTCTTGAGCAACCTGTTAATCGAGTTTAAATATGACTTCTCAATAGCCCCGTATTATACGTATAAACCTTCCTTAGTATCTATTGTTAAAAACTGGTTTAAAATCCGAGGCGTAGTTTAAAAGATCTAAGCGAACAGACAGCGCGAAAGAAATTTAATTTCGTCATTGCGTCTCCCAGGTCGGACGGTCAACCCAGTGCGTGTCCAGGGAGCGCTGGAGACAGCCTAGCAGCGCGAGGACCCCAACCTACACGTGCCCGTCAACTGGTAAACACTGGTTCTGTTCATACTATGGCGAATTTGAATCCGGTTTGAATTTAAAAAAACAATCTGACTACCTCATCTCTTCTCTGAAAAAAACTGAGGAATACTAAATTGTCAAATTTGAGAAACCGCTGTAGGGTTCGTTCCAAGATACGTTAGATTTAATTATGCTTACCAACATAGGAAAATGATAACATGTCAAGCGATGGGTGCAACAGCGTCTGGCTACTCCATTTGGGAATATAGTCGTGAAGGCATATTATTTATATTTCGAAACCTACCTTCAGTTTTATTATTTTTGCTGCTTCTCGAGATACATTCTCGCGGAGCTTTTCAGCGTCGGCGTTTAATCTTTTTCTACTAGCCGCTTCAGTAATTTCATTAAAATCCATAGTGACTACAAGAAATATTTTTTTATTAGTTAACAAAAATTAATTATTAAATATTTTCGTGAGAAAATTTTAATTGGCGGGAAATGCAAATCGGCCGGAATGCCACTTTTTCGGAAGATTTTTTACTATAACATGACTAATGATTCATCATATGCAGCCATATTTATACTTTTGTCTTTTTACTTGTTCATTATTTTTAACAAATATTAAAATATTTTCTATTAATATTGTCCCTTCAAAAAATTTTTAGAAGATAATATTTTTAAAATATACCAATTCTTTATTATGTGAATATCATTGTTTCAGAGCCGTAAAAATGAGGTAGCTACAGGTAAAGGGAGATGAAGGGATGACACAGATTGTGGCTATGTACATATTCATATCTGTAGAAGTTTTACAAATGAGATATAATACAATTAAGGGATTCAGTCCCGAATGACAGAGCTGTTATTTTTCTTATACGCGTAGTAACTAGGCAACAGTGTTATCGCGCGAAGATAATAAATTCGCAACAAATACTTTAGTAGCTGTCAATGTCAAATTCCTAAAGTACATGTAAAATGTGTCAAAGTTAGTCTCTGTTCTGATCAAAGGTTCTGCTACTCTGTGTAAAATCAAGAAATAAGAAATTCTAAAATCAATTTCGTAATTAAAGGTATTTTGCACATTTTAAATTATCATTATTTATTAAAAACACTTGAAATATTACTATTTATGATTATTAACAAGTATATTTTGAAATTGCCTGACATCCAATTGTTTTGAAGTTATGTAACGCAGTAAGGTTATATTCTGAATTTTAGATGATTGGCTCATCCCTTGTGGCTGGTTTGCGGGCGGCACGTACCCCTGTGGTGTTCACAAGGAACCTGGCGGCCGCTCCGAAGGCTGTAGACCCCATCCAGCAACTTTTCTTGGACAAAATCAGAGAGTACAAACAGAAGAGCTCGTAAGTACATATTTCTACATTTATACCTATGATATTGTGTATTTATTGAAATTCAAAAAGAATTTATTCGTGTAGGACATTTTAGGCGATTATGAACGTAAAATTTTTTATATTATAATTTTTCCCTATCTTCCAGTTCAGTATATAGATCCAATTGCGAAGAACTAGCAATAAACTCAATTGAATTACTTTTTTTTAAAGCCAGTATATTTACAATGTACATGAACAACTATTGCCATGCACACTCCTCATTCAAGTAATTGTTTAGTGAGTAATAGGCTTTGCTCAGTAAATATGATTCAACAGATGTTAAGAATCTAGAACCTACATTTTGCCTTATAAATTTTGCTTACAATAGTTAATTTATGGTTATATTTTACTTATTTCATATTATTGGAGTGCTAAGAGCCGATGTTGAATAGAACTTAGGCTTTTAACATTCCAATGACAATAAGAAACAATATATTTGTATGTATAATCAATTTGTAATATATTTGTACTCTTGGATAATAAAAAACAAAATTTAGTGGGTGCTATTATTCTTCTACATTTAATTTTTTGCACATATACACATTTTTTATTATTGGGTTGTTTGGGCTATTGTCATATATTTGTAGCACCTGTAGCACTGCGGCCTACATAGATCTATTGTGCTCGCCCTTTTCCAAAGTTCGCATACACATTTACTTATGTATCTTTATGTGCCAACCCTTAACATAATACATTTTCAATAAAGTTATTATTTGACATAAAATGTGGAAATTCAAAACTTGGTTTTATTCAATCGTTTGCTTTTTGCAAGTGAATAACAGCAAAAGTAATAAATATGAATTATTTCATTAAAAATAACTTACATTTTTAATGTCTGACCGTTATATAATATTTATTTAATTTTATCCAACCATACTTTGTAAAAGTATTTATTTATTTACTCTTTATTGCACCAGAAGTAGATTATTTTTTTTATAACAAAGAATATTTTTTTTTCTCCGAGTACATTTGCGATCAATCCCAGGACTATAAATATAACAAAGAATATAAGTACATAATAACTAATAAGGCACAAAAGGCGGTCTTATCTTGTAAGCAATCACTTCCAGACAACCTCTGGGTAGAAGTATATATTATTTGTTACCTCTTCTCAACTAAATGACTGATAAGATTTTAATTATGTTGTTGCGAAGATGGATTGTATCACAAAGGTGGGTTATGTTATCTTTTAACTAGAAATACAAACAAAGTCTGATGTAACTGCTAGTATTCTATTACCTCTTCACAACTAAATGACTGATAAGATTTTAATTAAATTTGAGTGAAGATGGATTGTATCACAAAGGTTTGCTAACTTATCTTTTAACTACAAATACAGACAAAGTCTGAGGTAACTATTTATTAGTGTTACTTATTTTTGGACTTGTAAAATTCTATTTATAAGTCTTGTGGAATACAGACCACTTACTTTGTCTAAGATCTATTTTGTAAGCTTCATATTTCAAATACCAAATTCGATTCTAAATTGTCACTTCTTTCTATTATTCCGTTTCAGTTTTCCTTCCTGGCCCTAGTTAGTAGTGTTTCTTTGTATAATATATTATTATACTAGCTGTAACCGCGACTTCATCCACATGGAATTTAACTTTATTTTTCTCAAATAAAAGTAGCCTAAGTTACTCCTTATTATATTAGCTACCTACCAAAAAAATCCCGTCAAAATCGGTCCAGCCATTACAGTGATTAGCCGGAACAAACAGACAGACAGACAAAATTTGTAACAACTGTTATTTTCGTGTATGTACCATATTTATATTTGTATGCATGTAGTAAAAAACGTTTATTTCAATATTACAAACAGACACTACAATTTTATATATATGTATAGATATACAATATAATGTCACAATTCCCTGGTTCAAATCACTCACAAGGCTTTTATTAACATTGCAGAGGCGGCAAACTGGTCGATCCAAGCCCTTCCATCCAGAAGGAGCTGCAAACGGAACTGGAGAAGTTGGAGAAACAATACGGTGGTGGTCCCGGAGTGGACATGACTGCATTCCCCTCATTCAAATTCGATGAACCCAAATTAGACCCCATCAACGAGCAGGCACCCACAAACTGAAGAGTTATATTAGAAACATAGTTAATTTGTACAGTTACGTAAAATATGTCTAATACTCGCAACCATGTTCAGTGATATTGGTGAATAAATTGTTGTATTGGGCATTTGGTATTTTTATTTAGTTAACTGATCCCGAGAACTCCATTCTGCCCCAAATTAAATTATATATCAAAGGTTCTAAGTTTTAAGTTTAGTTATGCAACAAATTTCTGGATGCACCCAGCATGACCGGTGGGAACAGTTTGCATGGGAAAATAAAATTGTTTTTACCATTCTCCATATAATTGCTTCATATTTTCACATGTTCCTTAGAGTGACGTTCTCGATGGTCTAGCGGTTTTGCACACCGCTATACTTCCTCTGGTCGCGGGTACGATTCCTTATACGGTACACATTTTTATATTCTAGAGTATGATTGTTTGTATCGATCTGAGTGTTTTCTATGTAATAACTACATATTTACAAAAAAAATTATATATATTGTGCCTACATTTGTAATATTTCTGTCGACACTTGAGACCCTTCCCTTAGTTTACATCTCCATTAACAACTAACTAACTAACTTAGATCTAAAGTTAAGTGTAAAATCAGTCTACGTTTCGACTCCGCGTCGATTGGACGCGTTACTAATAAACCATGTAGCACACTGCCTATAAACTTAATAATGTCTAATAAATAATACAATAATTTTACCGGTATACTCACCTACATACTACAATAAATAATATATTAAGTAGCGCCACCTCATCACAACATATATAACGCTACAGTGATGAGGATACCACCGCGCAACAATATCAATAGTCTAGTACCCATAACAAGCTCTGCTTACAGTGGGACGGAGATAGCGATGTGTTAATTGTCCAGCAATTAATTAACTAAATCTGGGTAATAAAATATAATGTAAATATTTTATTACCCAGATAGACTTTGTTAAAAGTATGCTTGTAGTTACCCAAAAATAGTTATTCCCGTATATCTTGTCGATCAGTTATTATTTAATATATAAAATTAAATAAAAATAAATACCTAAGTTTTCACCAAGCAGCTTGCTTTGTAAGCTGTGTACGGTTGTAGGATGAGGTAAGGCCGTTATATTATACAATAAGAGGAATGATACCTTACTCTTTTAAAACTTTCGAAATGGCAACACATGAGTTATCGCGGGCGTCACATGATAAATCACCGGACTGTTTAATATGAAATAATCTTTATTCAAATAAACTTAATATAATCACTTTTGAATAGTCACATTTTTTTTTACCACTCATTCGGAACGCAGACTCATCACAAGAAGAACGAGCAGGAAAGTTGTGTGTTGCTCTTTTAAATAAATGTTGTTTTAAGTAGATGTACATTAACAAGAATTAGGCATGCGACAATCAACATAGAAACCGCCACGCACTTAATCTTTCTGATAACATTGTCAGCGCTATGAATTTTAAGTTAGATATTTTCTAAAAAACCATTATTATAATTTATTAATTATTCAATGTTATAATAAGCTTTTTTGTGTTTATTTAAAAAACATATAAATGTTATAATATTTTAGATTTCTGTTGATCTGTGTCGGTCATATTCAACTGTGAGAACAAGATAGTTATCAATCAGTTCTTGAATACATAAAGAGATTTTCTGAGTAAATTTAACATTAATATTTTGTTATATTATTATCTATATAATTATATTAGCGATATTTTTAAACATATAATAAAGATAAAATTTAGAATGAGACTTATATACCAGTTGGTATAATATTTGTGACGGACTGAAATGTTTTACTTTTGAAGTAGTGTGAAGCACGAAGAAAGTTTCATTTATCATGTCGCGTAATCTTCAGGTCTGCGTGTTCAGTATCAGTAAAACAGTAGCGAAGTTTAAAACTCATAAATTCATTATAGTGTACTACGGCAACGCCTGAAATTTTGTGCGTAGCAATATTCTGCGTGAAGTAATAATTTATAATTATTAAGGCGTTTAATAATGAAATGAAATTAATTATTACTTACTGTGATTATTATTAATTAATTATGAATTATTGCGATTAGAATATATTAAATTCAAATTATTATGTGTATTTATGGATAAAAAAATTCCTAAATTTACAGTGTAGCATTATGTTTCGTCATACACTCATACACACTGTGGTCGGTTAACCGTCATGTTTGGCCCTCATGTATTCCAGCGAGTAAGTACTCCAGTCGGCACTCGCCAGTCAGTAGGCAATAGCGGCCAATACTAAACGTGCTCTGCGTCACGGCGTCGTACATGCAGTATGGCTGCCGGTTTCGTCGGCTCCACAAAAAGTTTTCCATTCTCATTCGATGTGGATGTGGATGAGGATGAACAGGGTCGCAGGACCCCACACCTCAGCAAACGCATAGGTAAGTGCAATACCATAATCATACCAAAACAAAACATAGATACATAAAACATACCTACATTATTTACGTTTTATATGCGTGTAAATTCTAATAAGTATTTACAGTTGCGGTTTTCCTAATTAATATTAATATATTATTTTCATGGATGCTCAATTAATAAATAAACGTATTATTCTATGTATTTAAGTACTAAGATAATATATACATTACTGGTAATATATATTTTTTTCTACCTACTGAAAATCGTCTGTAATTTTGATACAATTTATTACATTATCCCACAAATTAATAATAATAAAGTCAATATAAATCGTCTATAAGCAAAGAGTTTTAAATAAAACAGCGTCATTTAATACTTCCTTAATTTCGTGAATAATATCTAATTAAACTATACATAATAAATAAATATTTATTCCCTTTGTTCGTTCTTTTAAATTCCTTTAAATCCGGTTTAGCACAAAAGATGTATTCGGAATAACACGGTAAAGTAGTCAGCTGTTTTTATGTCTATTCAGCTATATGGGGTCCCTCTCCCGTCTGTTGCGGATAAACCGACCAAGTACATTTATCTCCCGACTTGTTACTAAGTGCTTGGATAAAGAGCACATCTGCAAATGGTTGTATAATAAGTGGATCGATAAACTGGCGCGTTGGCTGAAAGTGGTCGCGGAGTCCGCATATGTTAATGTACTACTGAATTACATGTTTATACACTTTACTGATTTATGCTTTTTATTTGCGATTTCGTTTGACCGGGAGGGACATTTTAAATTTGGAACAATAATTTCTTTCTCAACTACAGATAATCTATATATATATACCTGTATAAAAATGAATTACTGTTCGTTAGTCTCGCTAAAACTTGAGAAGGCTGAACCGATTTGACTAATTTTATTATTGAAATATTCGTGGAAATCCAGGGAAGGTTTAAACGGTGATAAAATATGAAGAAATTATATGGAGAATAATAAAAACAATAATTTTATTTTCCCATACATTGTCAATCAGGGCGCGTTTAGAAACTTATTGCGTAATTAAACTTCAAAATTTCTTTAATTCTGAAGCGGAATGGACTTCCCGGGGTCAGCTAGTAAAAATATAAATTAGGTCCTGTTATTTTATAATGTCAATATCTTGACACAGTTTTTTTTATAAAACAATTAATTAAACATATTATGTTATCTGTGATTAAACTGATATTCATATTAATGATGTCATAATCATTTGCTCTTCCTTATCCCATTTATTTAGTCGGCGTAATATTTTTCTCTTCCATTCATGCCTGTTCGCAGTCATCTCGTTATGCCCCTTTCTTGCCATATTATCTTTCACACAGTTTTTATTTCTTTTAAAGAAAGTATTACATGTGAATGTAGATAGTTAAAAGGGCCGAGTAGCCGTTTTTTTCATATGCATATGAATATAAATACGGTACATACATCAAAATAACATTTTTTACAATTTTTGTCTGTCTGTCTGTTCCGGCTAATCTCTGAAATGGCTGGACAGATTTTGACGGGACTTTTATTGGCAGGTAGCTGATGTAATAAGGAATAACTTAGGCTACTTTTATTTTAGAAAAATAAAGTTAGGTATATTCCACGACGTAGTCGCGGGTACAGCACACAATCATTAAAATCGAGATGTAATTACTAAAGTTGGGGTGTCTAATAATTACTGCATTTGTCGGGCGAGGTCATGCACATGCCTCGAGGTCAAACTCAGTCACAGGAAGCGCAGAGTGCCGAATCTACTGCTGTGAGGTCAAGGCGAATAGCGTAAAAGCGAGACCTCTTTAACTCTTATGCACTCATACTATTTGGTTCCTAGTTTGTATTCACACAATTATTAAACACGGAATGTCGGGAAACATTTGTTAAAAGAGCAACCAGGCGAGTCCATTGTACCTAATTTCGAATGCAGAGTCAGCAGAATTAGGTATTGCAAAGCACATATTGCAAAGCCTTTCGAAAAAGGCTTTGCAATATGTTTCCATATTTGAAAAAAGTATCTACTTTTGTTTTAGAAAACCACAGATAACATAAATCTAGTAGATTTATGTTATCTGTGGTGTAGTGTGTAATCCAAGTTTCTTTTTCTTCTTTAATGGCTCGGCACGTTGCCGCGTTGGTGCATTTGCCAATATCAAAGTGGCGGGGGGAAGGGGATTGTTAGTAATGTGGACTAATGATTGCTAGCAATGTACCATGTCAGTTTGACCTCCACGCAGAAACCATCGTGATAAATTCCCGGTGAATTTATCACGATGGGCTAACTGACCTGACTTCATGTTCATCTTATCATCCTCCACTGGTGCCCCGCCAGCGTAAACCGTTAGCGCAGGTGGGTGCATCATTCCATTATCATACACATAATAAAAAACTACATACATAATATACATAGAAAACACCCAGACCTATACATACAATCATACTCATGAATACAAATGTTTGTACCGTGCGCAGAATCCAACTTGCGACCATCTTATGACGGTGTGATAAACCGCTAGATCATCGAGGCCGTTATAGATTTTTTTTGTAATGTGTATTGACTGATTTTAAAAATTCTTTCCCTACAAAGAAGTAGAAGTTTATTCTATTCTTTATATATTATTGTAAGAATATTTATTGAATGAATTAAATAATCTTATTACTATTACAACGGATCGGTGGACTGTATGGGTGTCTAAATGATGAAAACACGTAGTTTGGAATAATAATATATTAATATGTGCAATTGCGAACTATACGAAAGAAAATGAAAAAAAAAAAATATATACGAATATGTATCAAAAAACATGACGTATAAAAAGAACTGTTCTAAAAATATAGATTTAAAAATAATAAAAGTATCAAAAGAGGTTGCGGCGGCCGGTCGCCAACAACTATACTAGCTCTAGTTACTCTTTATTACATTAGCTACCTACCAAAAAAAGTCTCGCCAAAATCGGTACAGCCAATTCAGAGATTAGCCGGAACGTGGAGGTCAACCTGATATGGTACATTGCTAGTAATGGGGTCATGAGTCCACATTACTAACAATCCCATTCCCCGCTTATGTAGTAGTAGCTGAGCCCGCAAACGTTGTTTTACCATATGAATTGAAATCGCTAAAAAATAATTAAAAATAGGGGTTGATAATAGAAGCATGAGGGGGGAAAGGGGATTGTTAGTAATGTGAACTGATTGTATATTCGTGAACTGATAATCATATTGCTTGCAATGTACCATGTCAGGTTGACCTCCACGCGGTTCCTCTCGAAACCATCGTGACAAATTCTTATTGAATTTGTTTGACTAACTGATCTGACCTCATGCTCATCTTATCATCCTCCATTGGTGCCCCGCTAGCGTAAACCGTTAGTGCAGGTGGATGCACAATTCCACTAACATCCATAAAAAATAGAAGAGGGAACATTTAGCGCACTGCTGCGTTGTAATATGCCTTTCATTCTATATGCCACATTACGAAAATAAAAGAAAAAATTGCCCAAGAAATAAAAAAAAAACGTTTCCTAATCACGGACGCTGATAGCCAGTATTTATATAAACTCATTGTTGGCGCGCAAGCGACGACAGTGGACGGCTGCGGGGTCTGCGGGCGCCGCGGGGCATCCGAGCCGGCAGCGAGCCCGATCTGCTGCCGGATCCGGCTCGAAGGACCTTTGATTAGGCCCGGTTAGGGTGGTGAAATGATATCACGTTGTGGACTGTATGATTATGTATTTTAGAATATATATTACAAGTGTTAAGAGAAGTGCGTGCGGTACCCGATGCACGGAATGGCCGAGTGAGGTGTCGCGGCAGATCGGGCTCGCTGCCGGCTCGGATGCCCCGCGGCGCCCGCAGATCCGCAGCCATCCACTGTCGTCGCTTGCGCGCCAACACTCATTAGTTGCTGTTACTGTAATCTAGTTCTTTTCCTAACACTTTGTAATCTCGATTTGATCGGATTCTAATTGTAACTTATAATATATAATGTAATTTCTAATTGTTATATATATACATATCTATATATAAATAGATAGGGCGGTAAATCATAAAATGTTAATAAATTAAAATTTTAATTAATTTTAATGGAGATAGATAAAATCAACAAAGACACGGACCTTTGTCTGTGGAAATAAAAAAAAAAACTCGACTTGGGTTGCCTTGTAGTGATGGCGAATTTAAAAAACAAATATTCTGTTTTTGTGCTTTAGTAGCACCCCACCTTATATTTTCCTATTGTTATTTAGTATATAAGATCATTATTTCTATGTACATATTGTCAGATTATTATCATCTGTAATATACATCGTCTCGACCAACAACAACGTATCATTCACCCGCAACAGTGGTGACCCCGACGTGATATGACGTATTATTCTGATGTATAATCTATGTTATTGTAAAGTTTCATTAAAATCCGTTCAGTAGTTTTTGCGTGAAAGAGTAACAAACATCCAATCATACTCACGAACTTTCGCGTTTATATTGTTAATGAGATACATCAGAATAACATAGGCTTATGCAGGCAAAACCGCGGGCACAACTAATCTTTACCTCCTTACTAATATCACCTAATATTATAAAGGCGAAAGTAACTCTGTCTGTCTCGCTTTCACATCAAAACTACTGAACCGATTTAAATGAAATTTAGTACATAGATAGTCTAGACCCTGAAAAAGGACATAGGCTACTTTTTAATGGAAAAAAGGGTTGTAAGGCGAGTAAAGGGGGGATGAAAGGTTGTATGGAAGAATCGTCAGTTTTGAAGCTAGCGAGGCTGTTGATTAAATGGTAATAAATATGACATTCAAAGTTTGTAAAAATGTTACCATTAAGAGGGTAAAAAATTTAGCCTAAAAAGGGTTGAAGTTTGTAGAAATTATGTAGTAAATTTTTTGGAAAATCGTTCATTTTATTTGCCTTTTTTGGGTTAGATTATTGAATATTTTTTCTTTGTTTGATCGAGGTCACTATAACACGCGGAATTCGCGGGCACAGCTACTACATAAA